ACAGGGATAAGGATACAGATAGCCTAGATGACGAAGAAGAAGCTACATAGGTAGTTGGATTACTAAAGTAGTAGTGTAGAACATGTTTATCTGTTCATTTACTTATTAAAAAGTGTATTTTTCTATTAGTTGTATGTGTGTTTACTTGTATAACCTTGTATAACCTTTATTACAAATTGATTGTCTACAACACATACTGTACTTGCACAGTGTTGTCTTTATTTGGGAACATGTTTATGTGTCATAAAAATAAGCTTTCTTTATTTGGGAACAATGTTGAAGAACAAGTAACTTTATGTTGTTCACATACTCATAGCCACCTTGTATTTACATGGTTATAGCCATAGACATGTTGTGTAATAAATCTTGGCATCATTATGTGTTCAGTCTTTATACATTCTTGAGAATCAAGTGGTTCAGAGAAGCAGGTGCGTGTCCTCAGACTCCTTGAATCAAACATATACTCCTGAAGGTGAAGGATACTTTCTACGGATGGCCTCAACGACGCAGCAGGGTCTGCGCCAGAATGAATCAGTTGGACGGGCCTTTGATATCCATAGGCGGGCACGTTTTTTCACGGAACTTCCTATGTGTGCATGCGCTTGCGCGTTCACCATTTAAAAAAAAAGGTGTTATAGTAAAGACCAGAGGCAGCTCCTGAGTTTCAAGTTTGGGGAAGCTTACAATTTATCCTACCATTTACGATTATTTTTATAAGGCGAGAGCACCAGCCTCTGCCATATGGACACATTGATACACTGTGGTCCATTGGCAGCTAACAAAAGAGCACATAGAACTCAGAGATAGCATATAGGCCAATAAAGTGGTAGGCCTATAACTTCCATCGTCAACTAAGTAAAATACATAGGCCTAAAGCAGACAAATAAAAATTCCTGTTCTTTCAATCATATTAATCTCTCTACTCTGCCTGTCTGCCTCCCTTTCTATCTGTCTTGACTTGCGCTATCGCTAGTGAAGTCCAACATTGTATCAAATCATCAACTGGGTCCGGCTCAGGCGCACGCCTCCCTCAACGTTATCAGGACAGCGAAACCAGACTCATGCTCATTGCTCATGGAGCTCTCCAAATAAAAGACAATATGAAATAAACCAAAACTTGTTTCTCACAAGTGTAGCAGGTTTTGAACTCTGCAAACAATGTTTCCACTCCGAGAATGAAAATGGTAAATGACTGTAATTAAAACATACATTAACAGAAATTAATGTAACCAAATGATGGGGGATTAATGGTACATTTACTAGGCACATATGTAATGGGGTATTGATAAAGAAATAAACAATCAAAGGGCAAACAATTCACAGAATGAAACAATGAATGTGCAAGAATTGGTGGGCGACAGCTGAGTGCATTCTAGAGCGCTGAGTGCATGCATTTTGGAGAGAGACCAGCCATATCTTTGCTGCACACCCCTCTCCTTCTTCTTGTTGTAACGTTTTAAATTATACTCAAGATACATTATCTTCACACATATTTTAGATGCTTTTCACTTTAGATGCAACTCAATCAGCTAGACATGTTGCCACGCAGGCTGCCCAAATTGTGGGCTTCCCAAATAGGCATAGACATACACACTTGTGATTTGAAACAATCAACAGCAAAAAAAATTAAAGAAGCTAATGATCCTCTGTGGCTAAGTCATGCTCTCTGGTGAAGTGTTTTGAATCTTTTCATTTTGACAGGAGTAATTATATAATTTGGGCAAAAAATCTATTTACTTTAAGGGAAGCCAGCATCCTTTCCTTTCCAATTCGCAAGAGGCTGAAACCAAAGATCTGTATATAATGACGAGATGCTCATGTCTCCGCCCTAACAATGGGAGTCGTTGTCCCAAAGGCAGGAAAGCAGGCGGCAAGCTTAGGTATGCATATACACAGACCCACGAAGAATTTGAAAACAAACCCAATTTTGATAAACTCCCATATCTATTGGGTGACATACCACAGTGTGCCATCACAGCAGCAAGATTTGTGACTTGTTGCCACAAGAAAAGGGCAACCAGTGAAGAACAAACACTATTGTAAATACAATGCATATTTATGCTTATTTAGTTTCCATTTTGTACTTTAACTATTTGCACATAATATGACATTTTAAATGTCTTTATTATTTTGGAACTTTTGTGAGTGTAATGTTTACTGTTCATTTTTTTTATATTGTTTATTTCACTTTTGTTTATTATCTATTTTACTTGCTTTGGCAATGTAAACATATGTTTTCCATGCCAATAAAGCCCCTTAAATTGAAATTGAATTATGCACATAGAAACGCATTGGGCTTATTCTGGGCAGATTTTGGGGAGAGTGAGCTCTCTCGCTTCGCCTCTTCCTCTCTGCTGAAACTCTCTCACCAGAGAAAGCATCCGAGTAGCAAAATAGTGCCGCTCTGTCTTACTGCCCATGTATCTGATGCTGTCCGGCCAGAAATAGTATGACATGCCATACTCTTTTGGTCCAGACAGAATCAGATACATGGTCTACACATACTGAGACAGAGGGCCCCCACCTTTCTAAAGAAATCTGCCCACTAATTGCCCTTCTAAATGTGTTTGCCTAAGGATAGCCATTATGCACATATCAAAATCGTACAAAAACTTTAAAATATACATTTTCCTTGAGACCGTTTTCCCCCAAGTTACCCTAACATTGGAATTTGTAATTGCTGCTGTTGTCAAAATGAGTCCATTGCAGACTGACAAACTATTAGACACTTGTTTAAATATAATTTGATTTATGCAAGTAAAACAATGCATGACAATAATCAAAATCCAGTATTCCTATAACTTTTTAAAATGCAGCTTGACCTCTAGCTTCCTATTCACCTGAGCCTAAATTGTTTAATACCATTATGCTTCTCACACGTTGCTCTCAGAACCACATTATCAATGCTACAAATTAAAATCAATAGTTCTCATGAAGAGGTACTCACCACCTTGCAGATTCAGAACATCATTGGAGAGTGTACTAACCTGGAGCCATTATAATGATTTTATAAGTGAAACTGGTGTTCTATGCTTGCAGCCTGGACCACTGATGATGTCATATATGTACCCTTATTGTGACATCACAGTACATAGTAAAGGGGAGGAGTCAGTCAGCATCCTGAACATTGATACTGCTCCAATCTACATTATCCATGGTAAAATAATCAATCCGTTTTATAAAACATTACTTGCAATGACATGAGTAGATCATTAGCCAAAATATTGCCCAAAATATCAGAGAAATTACAGTGCAGCCTACAAGAATGTAATATGCTATCTTGTATCATCTATTGAGGATACAGTGGGGGAAAAAAGTATTTAGTCAGCCACCAATTGTGCAAGTTCTCCCACTTAAAAAGATGAGAGAGGCCTGTAATTTTCATCATAGGTACACGTCAACTATGACAGGCAAATTGAGAATTTTTTTCCCAGAAAATCACATTGTAGGATTTTTAATGAATTTATTTGCAAATTATGGTGGAAAATAAGTATTTGGTCAACTACAAACAAGCAAGATTTCTGGCTCTCACAGACCTGTAACTTCTTATTTAAGAGGCTTCTCTGTCCTCCACTCGTTACCTGTATTAATGGCACCTGTTTGAACTTGTTATCAGTATACAGACACCTGTCCACAACCTCAAACAGTCACACTCCAAACTCCACTATGGCCAAGACCAAAGAGCTGTCAAAGGACACCAGAAATAAAATTGTAGACCTGCACCAGACTGGGAAGACTGAATCTGCAATAGGTAAGCAGCTTGGTTTGAAGAAATCAACTGTGGGAGCAATTATTAGGAAATGGAAGACATACAAGACCATTGATAATCTCCCACGTTCTGGGGCTCCACGCAAGATCTCACCCCGTGGGGTCAAAATGATCACAAGAACGATGAGCAAAAATCCCAGAACCACACGGGGGGACCTAGTGAATGACCTGCAGAGAGCTGGGACCAAAGTAACAAAGCCTACCATCAGTAACACACTACGCCGCCAGGGACTCAAATCCTGCAGTGCCAGACGTGTCCCCCTGCTTAAGCCAGTACATGTCCAGGCCCGTCTGAAGTTTGCTAGAGTGCATTTGGATGATCCAGAAGAGGATTGGGAGAATGTCATATGGTCAGATGAAACCAAAATATAACTTTTTGGTAAAAACTCAACTCGTCGTGTTTGGAGGACAAAGAATGCTGAGTTGCATCCAAAGAACACCATACCTACTGTGAAGCATGGGGGTGGAAACATCATGCTTTGGGGCTGTTTTTCTGCAAAGGGACCAGGACGACTGATCCGTGTAAAGGAAAGAATGAATGGGGCCATGTATCGTGAGATTTTGAGTGAAAACCTCCTTCCATCAGCAAGGGCATTGAAGATGAAACGTGGCTGGTTCTTTCAGCATGACAATGATCCCAAACACACCGCCCGGGCAACGAAGGAGTGGCTTCGTAAGAAGCATTTCAAGGTCCTGGAGTGGCCTAGCCAGTCTCCAGATCTCAACCCCATAGAAAATCTTTGGAGGGAGTTGAAAGTCTGTGTTGCCCAGCGACAGCCCCAAAACATCACTGCTCTAGAGGAGATCTGCATGGAGGAATGGGCCAAAATACCAGCAACAGTGTGTGAAAACCTTGTGAAGACTTACAGAAAACGTTTGACCTGTGTCATTGCCAACAAAGGGTATATAACAAAGTATTGAGAAACTTTTGTTATTGACCAAATACTTATTTTCCACCATAATTTGCAAATAAATTCATTAAAAATCCTACAATGTGATTTTCTGGATTTTCTTTCTCATTTTCTGTCATAGTTGACGTGTACCTATGATGAAAATTACAGGCTTCTCTCATCTTATTAAGTGGGAGAACTTGCACAATTGGTGGCTGACTAAATACTTTTTTTCCCCACTGTATATATATATTAAGTGATCAGTCATCATTGACATACTGTACTTAATTAAATAAAGTTAAAAATAAAATAAAAATTCACACTAATATTAATAAAATCAAATACTGTAAAGTTTTCATTTATTGACACATTACATGTCATACCCGACAGAGTGCTTCACAATCATTCATAAGCAAATCTCCCAACTGAATAATTTATTTAAACCTGATCAATAATACTGGAACTGCCATTAACCAGATAAAATATACATTCTTTACAAATCAACGAAACAATTTCAGTATCGTTCACAAAACATTTCATTCTGTTTACAATGATGTCTCTCTCTTCCCTTTCCTTTCTTCTTTGGCTGTAATCAGAGAAATTCAACTCAAAACAAACTCAAAGAGGAGGCCAAGATGTACTGCATGGTCATTGTGAAAAGCAGCCCCCATTCACCAGCATAGAAAGAGTCAAGACAGTGTCTCTCTGCAGAGGAAACTATGTACACCATTGTGGGTCACTATCAAAAACCCTCATAGTCAACCACAACCCTGAACACATATTCACACACACACACCCTATCGCAGGCACCGTACATTTGCAAAGAAACTAAAGGGTATATGAAAGTCATCCAATGTGATTGAGATTGATTCTGTGTGCAAAACATTGTCATCCGCTGCTTTATTTGGCCATGCTCTGTCTATATACTAAGTGTATTTAGAGCTGGCACTAGAGTGACCGGCTCCGAGAGGATCTGGTTCTGGTCAGGTGTTCCTTTGCTCTGAAGAACCTTCTGTCGATGTCTTTCCTCTTGTCGCTTTTTCTTCTCCAAGTGCTGTTGCTCTTTTCTCTGCTTGTTTGAAGCCTGAGAGAGGGGTTGAAAAACGGGGGTCAAGATGAAAAAGGGGGATTCATGTCCGTTCTGAATTAAATTGAGAAATGCAGGTCAATTTCATCTGGAACTTGAATTGAAATAGTCGCACAGACTCAGAATACTGATACAGAATTGGAATTTGAGTGCAGAGTCGTCGTGTAGCGTTAACACTCTCCGGCACATGTCACATATACTGTTAAAACTCCCCACATGAGACCAGGGTTCAATCCATGTGTACACCTTTCCCACTGTTTCTCCAACTTGCCTGTCTCCCCACCTCAATTCCTTACTGTCTGAATAGAATGTGTTAAAAGACCAAAAAATATATTTTTTTAAAGAATTGGAATTTGAGCATCTTACCTTGGATTTGTGTAGGTTGCCTCCATCAGGTGGTGGTTTGTGCTCACTGCACTCTGTCCCTGCCTCTCTACACGCAGAGCATGATCCTGAGGCACACTGGCCGTGACACACTTGGGCCACTAGCTCAGAATCCACCAGCCACCCAGCGTTGATGGTGGCGGCACTCAGCTGAAACAGATTCTCCTCTTCCCCTGAGAGACATGGCACACAAAACACATGGGGTCAGTTGCAGTGAATATATCACATCAGATGCTCCTGTTGATCATTATCAAAGGGTTTTGGTTGGTAGCTCCCTCTAAAAGATGGAAATCCTCAAAACAGCCAATAAACATCAGTTGTATTTATTAGCAATGTTTATTTTGTGTATGGGTGGTCCTCTGTAGCTCAGCTGGTAGAGCACGGCGCTTGTAACGCCAAGGTAGTGGGTTCGATCCCCGGGACCACCCATACACAAAAATGTATGCACGCATGACTGTAAGTCGCTTTGGATAAAAGCGTCTGCTAAATGGCATATTATTATTATATTATTATTATATGCAGTGGGCTAAGACTGCAGACAAATTACAGTTTGGTTTGAGTTGGGATTAGAAAATGACCCCAAACAGCTAGTAGACACTGATAATCAGAATACAATGGGGGAGAAGACAGAGGGGACACTCACAGTGTGGGCCCCTGTTCTTCAGGGAATTTAGGATCACATTGTCCTCCTCTGAGGGGGTGGGCGAGGGGGCTTTCCTTCTGTCCCTCTGGCCGTCACCAAACTCACGCTGCCCACTCGAATTATGTAGATTCTAGAGTGGGGTGGGGGGGGGATAAAGGATATTTGTTTGAGAACAGGACTAATCCAATTGTCCAAATATTTGGTAGTGAGTTTTTAGCTGAAGGGGTTGTTATTTGTACCTCTATACGCAGCTGAGCAGGACTCTCAGAGTTGTCACCGATTGGTCTTACACTGTCGTAATGGTCTCCATAGCGATAGGCAATGTGTAGCTCTCGGCCAACCAGCTTCTCAGAGCCATTTATCTGAATTGAGGAAACATAATGAGTAGGACTTATCAATAGGGGTATTTCTTACATTAGAAGAGGACTTCAGTTTAAAAAACAGTATTGTGCCAGAATGTGGTCTAGTGGTAGGACCACATATACCACCTGGCAACAGGGGATTCATGCCTCTCCTCACTGACTTTTTCATATATACCCTTCTATTTTGTACTACACCCTTGTCCACTTTCCCGTTGTTCTTTCATAAAAACATAATAATAATAAACTATAAAAAAATTATTTCACTTTTGTTTATTATCTATTTTACTTGCTTTGGCAATGTAAACATATGTTTTCCATGCCAATAAAGCCCCTTAAATTGAAATTGAATTATGCACATAGAAACGCATTGGGCTTATTCTGGGCAGATTTTGGGGAGAGTGAGCTCTCTCGCTTCGCCTCTTCCTCTCTGCTGAAACTCTCTCACCAGAGAAAGCATCCGAGTAGCAAAATAGCGCCGCTCTGTCTTACTGCCCATGTATCTGATGCTGTCCGGCCAGAAATAGTATGACATGCCATACTCTTTTGGTCCAGACAGAATCAGATACATGGTCTACACATACTGAGACAGAGGGCCCCCACCTTTCTAAAGAAATCTGCCCACTAATTGCCCTTCTAAATGTGTTTGCCTAAGGATAGCCATTATGCACATATCAAAATCGTACAAAAACTTTAAAATATACATTTTCCTTGAGACCGTTTTCCCCCAAGTTACCCTAACATTGGAATTTGTAATTGCTGCTGTTGTCAAAATGAGTCCATTGCAGACTGACAAACTATTAGACACTTGTTTAAATATAATTTGATTTATGCAAGTAAAACAATGCATGACAATAATCAAAATCCAGTATTCCTATAACTTTTTAAAATGCAGCTTGACCTCTAGCTTCCTATTCACCTGAGCCTAAATTGTTTAATACCATTATGCTTCTCACACGTTGCTCTCAGAACCACATTATCAATGCTACAAATTAAAATCAATAGTTCTCATGAAGAGGTACTCACCACCTTGCAGATTCAGAACATCATTGGAGAGTGTACTAACCTGGAGCCATTATAATGATTTTATAAGTGAAACTGGTGTTCTATGCTTGCAGCCTGGACCACTGATGATGTCATATATGTACCCTTATTGTGACATCACAGTACATAGTAAAGGGGAGGAGTCAGTCAGCATCCTGAACATTGATACTGCTCCAATCTACATTATCCATGGTAAAATAATCAATCCGTTTTATAAAACATTACTTGCAATGACATGAGTAGATCATTAGCCAAAATATTGCCCAAAATATCAGAGAAATTACAGTGCAGCCTACAAGAATGTAATATGCTATCTTGTATCATCTATTGAGGATACAGTGGGGGAAAAAAGTATTTAGTCAGCCACCAATTGTGCAAGTTCTCCCACTTAAAAAGATGAGAGAGGCCTGTAATTTTCATCATAGGTACACGTCAACTATGACAGGCAAATTGAGAATTTTTTTCCCAGAAAATCACATTGTAGGATTTTTAATGAATTTATTTGCAAATTATGGTGGAAAATAAGTATTTGGTCACCTACAAACAAGCAAGATTTCTGGCTCTCACAGACCTGTAACTTCTTATTTAAGAGGCTTCTCTGTCCTCCACTCGTTACCTGTATTAATGGCACCTGTTTGAACTTGTTATCAGTATACAGACACCTGTCCACAACCTCAAACAGTCACACTCCAAACTCCACTATGGCCAAGACCAAAGAGCTGTCAAAGGACACCAGAAACAAAATTGTAGACCTGCACCAGACTGGGAAGACTGAATCTGCAATAGGTAAGCAGCTTGGTTTGAAGAAATCAACTGTGGGAGCAATTATTAGGAAATGGAAGACATACAAGACCATTGATAATCTCCCACGATCTGGGGCTCCACGCAAGATCTCACCCCGTGGGGTCAAAATTATCACAAGAACGGTGAGCAAAAATCCCAGAACCACAAGGGGGGACCTAGTGAATGACCTGCAGAGAGCTGGGACCAAAGTAACAAAGCCTACCATCAGTAACACACTACGCCGCCAGGGACTCAAATCCTGCAGTGCCAGACGTGTCCCCCTGCTTAAGCCAGTACATGTCCAGGCCCGTCTGAAGTTTGCTAGAGTGCATTTGGATGATCCAGAAGAGGATTGGGAGAATGTCATATGGTCAGATGAAACCAAAATATAACTTTTTGGTAAAAACTCAACTCGTCGTGTTTGGAGGACAAAGAATGCTGAGTTGCATCCAAAGAACACCATACCTACTGTGAAGCATGGGGGTGGAAACATCATGCTTTGGGGCTGTTTTTCTGCAAAGGGACCAGGACGACTGATCCGTGTAAAGGAAAGAATGAATGGGGCCATGTATCGTGAGATTTTGAGTGAAAACCTCCTTCCATCAGCAAGGGCATTGAAGATGAAACGTGGCTGGTTCTTTCAGCATGACAATGATCCCAAACACACCGCCCGGGCAACGAAGGAGTGGCTTCGTAAGAAGCATTTCAAGGTCCTGGAGTGGCCTAGCCAGTCTCCAGATCTCAACCCCATAGAAAATCTTTGGAGGGAGTTGAAAGTCTGTGTTGCCCAGCGACAGCCCCAAAACATCACTGCTCTAGAGGAGATCTGCATGGAGGAATGGGCCAAAATACCAGCAACAGTGTGTGAAAACCTTGTGAAGACTTACAGAAAACGTTTGACCTGTGTCATTGCCAACAAAGGGTATATAACAAAGTATTGAGAAACTTTTGTTATTGACCAAATACTTATTTTCCACCATAATTTGCAAATAAATTCATTAAAAATCCTACAATGTGATTTTCTGGATTTTCTTTCTCATTTTCTGTCATAGTTGACGTGTACCTATGATGAAAATTACAGGCTTCTCTCATCTTATTAAGTGGGAGAACTTGCACAATTGGTGGCTGACTAAATACTTTTTTTCCCCACTGTATATATATATTAAGTGATCAGTCATCATTGACATACTGTACTTAATTAAATAAAGTTAAAAATAAAATAAAAATTCACACTAATATTAATAAAATCAAATACTGTAAAGTTTTCATTTATTGACACATTACATGTCATACCCGACAGAGTGCTTCACAATCATTCATAAGCAAATCTCCCAACTGAATAATTTATTTAAACCTGATCAATAATACTGGAACTGCCATTAACCAGATAAAATATACATTCTTTACAAATCAACGAAACAATTTCAGTATCGTTCACAAAACATTTCATTCTGTTTACAATGATGTCTCTCTCTTCCCTTTCCTTTCTTCTTTGGCTGTAATCAGAGAAATTCAACTCAAAACAAACTCAAAGAGGAGGCCAAGATGTACTGCATGGTCATTGTGAAAAGCAGCCCCCATTCACCAGCATAGAAAGAGTCAAGACAGTGTCTCTCTGCAGAGGAAACTATGTACACCATTGTGGGTCACTATCAAAAACCCTCATAGTCAACCACAACCCTGAACACATATTCACACACACACACCCTATCGCAGGCACCGTACATTTGCAAAGAAACTAAAGGGTATATGAAAGTCATCCAATGTGATTGAGATTGATTCTGTGTGCAAAACATTGTCATCCGCTGCTTTATTTGGCCATGCTCTGTCTATATACTAAGTGTATTTAGAGCTGGCACTAGAGTGACCGGCTCCGAGAGGTTCTGGTTCTGGTCAGGTGTTCCTTTGCTCTGAAGAACCTTCTGTCGATGTCTTTCCTCTTGTCGCTTTTTCTTCTCCAAGTGCTGTTGCTCTTTTCTCTGCTTGTTTGAAGCCTGAGAGAGGGGTTGAAAAACGGGGGTCAAGATGAAAAAGGGGGATTCATGTCCGTTCTGAATTAAATTGAGAAATGCAGGTCAATTTCATCTGGAACTTGAATTGAAATAGTCGCACAGACTCAGAATACTGATACAGAATTGGAATTTGAGTGCAGAGTCGTCGTGTAGCGTTAACACTCTCCGGCACATGTCACATATACTGTTAAAACTCCCCACATGAGACCAGGGTTCAATCCATGTGTACACCTTTCCCACTGTTTCTCCAACTTGCCTGTCTCCCCACCTCAATTCCTTACTGTCTGAATAGAATGTGTTAAAAGACCAAAAAATATATTTTTTTAAAGAATTGGAATTTGAGCATCTTACCTTGGATTTGTGTAGGTTGCCTCCATCAGGTGGTGGTTTGTGCTCACTGCACTCTGTCCCTGCCTCTCTACACGCAGAGCATGATCCTGAGGCACACTGGCCGTGACACACTTGGGCCACTAGCTCAGAATCCACCAGCCACCCAGCGTTGATGGTGGCGGCACTCAGCTGAAACAGATTCTCCTCTTCCCCTGAGAGACATGGCACACAAAACACATGGGGTCAGTTGCAGTGAATATATCACATCAGATGCTCCTGTTGATCATTATCAAAGGGTTTTGGTTGGTAGCTCCCTCTAAAAGATGGAAATCCTCAAAACAGCCAATAAACATCAGTTGTATTTATTAGCAATGTTTATTATATGCAGTGGGCTAAGACTGCAGACAAATTACAGTTTGGTATGAGTTGGGATTAGAAAATGACCCCAAACAGCTAGTAGACACTGATAATCAGAATACAATGGGGGAGAAGACAGAGGGGACACTCACAGTGTGGGCCCCTGTTCTTCAGGGAATTTAGGATCACATTGTCCTCCTCTGAGGGGGTGGGCGAGGGGGCTTTCCGTCTGTCCCTCTGGCCGTCACCAAACTCACGCTGCCCACTCGAATTATGTAGATTCTAGAGTGGGGTGGGGGGGGATAAAGGATATTTGTTTGAGAACAGGACTAATCCAATGGTCCAAATATTTGGTAGTGAGTTTTTAGCTGAAGGGGTTGTTATTTGTACCTCTATATGCAGCTGAGCAGGACTCTCAGAGTTGTCACCGATTGGTCTTACACTGTCGTAATGGTCTCCATAGCGATAGGCAATGTGTAGCTCTCGGCCAACCAGCTTCTCAGAGCCATTTATCTGAATTGAGGAAACATAATGAGTAGGACTTATCAATAGGGGTATTTCTTACATTAGAAGAGGACTTCAGTTTAAAAAACAGTATTGTGCCAGAATGTGGTCTAGTGGTAGGACCACATATACCACCTGGCAACAGGGGATTCATGCCTCTCCTCACTGACTTTTTCATATATACCCTTCTATTTTGTACTACACCCTTGTCCACTTTCCCGTTGTTCTTTCATAAAAACATAATAATAATAAACTATAAAAAAATAGGCCTACTTAATGAGATTGGGATCTCCTTTAAAAACAAACAAACAAATAGTAAAATAAAGTGTTTCACCAATTGTGCACTACTATACCCTTTATACAGCTTAATGTCTCTTAGCCAAAAGTAGTAAACTATATGGGCAATAGGGTGTCATTGAGGATCCTACCTCCCACAGTGGCGTGTTGAGCTGATGAATGACCACTTTAAGCTGTTGACTGCGGGCGAATGCCACGATGGCATCATTACCAGCAAAAGTACCAGGCTGGGAGAGGTTTGACACTGAGAGGAAGATAACAACATAACAGAGAGAAAGATTAGTGACAAGACCTTTAAAGACAATCTGTAGGATGACTTGCATACCATCAGAAACTTGGGCAGCCAACAACATTTTCACATGCAAATAGTATTTGATTTCTATCATATTGGGCCGTTTCCTTACAATGCTGTGCGAAGGGCACATCATCCTCCACAAAGGGCTCAAAGTCCTGCCGGTGTGACATCATGTACTGCACAGTCTCCTGTCGCAGGCGCAAGTGTCCCCGAGAGTGTCCCTCCAACTGGTCACCTAGAGCCCGGAACAGGCAGTTACTAAAGGACGGACACACAGTATTAGTCAACGTTATAACAGCCTTTTATAACAGCACTTAGGTGGTGTTCCAGGCTGACTACATTGCAGACTTTGCATTGCATCAACCAATTATTGCGTGCCACGTCATCAATTACGCAATCTGGCATCAGATTGCTATATCATATGATACAGTGGGGGAAAAAAAGTATTTAGTCAGCCACCAATTGTGCAAGTTCTCCCACTCAAAAAGATGAGAGAGGCCTGTAATTTTCATCATAGGTACACGTCAACTATGACAGACAAATTGAGAAGAAAAAAATCCAGAAAATCACATTGTAGGATTTTTAATGAATTTATTTGCAAATTATGGTGGAAAATAAGTATTTGGTCACCTACAAACAAGCAAGATTTCTGGCTCTCACAGACCTGTAACTTCTTCTTTAAGAGGCTCCTCTGTCCTCCACTCGTTACCTGTATTAATGGCACCTGTTTGAACTTGTTATCAGTATAAAAGACACCTGTCCACAACCTCAAACAGTCACACTCCAAACTCCACTATAGCCAAGACCAAAGAGCTGTCAAAGGACACCAGAAACAAAATTATAGACCTGCACCAGGCTGGGAAGACTGAATCTGCAATAGGTAAGCAGCTTGGTTTGAAGAAATCAACTGTGGGAGCAATTATTAGGAAATGGAAGACATACAAGACCACTGATAATCTCCCTCGATCTGGGGCTCCACGCAAGATCTCACCCTGTGGGGTCAAAATGATCACAAGAACGGTGAGCAAAAATTCCAGAACCACACAGGGGGACCTAGTGAATGACCTGCAGAGAGCTGGGACCAAAGTAACAAAGCCTACCATCAGTAACACACTACGCCGCCAGGGACTCAAATCCTGCAGTGCCAGACGTGTCCCCCTGCTTAAGCCAGTACATGTCCAGGCCCGTCTGAAGTTTGCTAGAGTGCATTTGGATGATCCAGAAGAGGATTGGGAGAATGTCATATGGTCAGATGAAACCAAAATATAACTTTTTGGTAAAAACTCAACTCGTCGTGTTTGGAGGACAAAGAATGCTGAGTTGCATCCAAAGAACACCATACCTACTGTGAAGCATGGGGGTGGAAACATCATGCTTTGGGGCTGTTTTTCTGCAAAGGGACCAGGACGACTGATCCGTGTAAAGGAAAGAATGAATGGGGCCATGTATCGTGAGATTTTGAGTGAAAACCTCCTTCCATCAGCAAGGTCATTGAAGATGAAACGTGACTGGGTCTTTCAGCGTGACAATGATCCCAAACACACCGCCCGGGCAACGAAGGAGTGGCTTCGTAAGAAGCATTTCAAGGTCCTGGAGTGGCCTAGCCAGTCTCCAGATCTCAACCCCATAGAAAATCTTTGGAGGGAGTTGAAAGTCTGTGTTGCCCAGCGACAGCCCCAAAACATCACTGCTCTAGAGGAGATCTGCATGGAGGAATGGGCCAAAATACCAGCAACAGTGTGTGAAAACCTTGTGAAGACTTACAGAAAACGTTTGACCTGTGTCATTGCCAACAAAGGGTATATAACAAAGTATTGAGAAACTTTTGTTATTGACCAAATACTTATTTTCCACCATAATCTGCAAATAAATTCATTAAAAATCCTACAATGTGATTTTCTGGATTTTTTTTCCTCATTTTGTCTGTCATAGTTGACATGTACCTATGATGAAAATTACAGGCCTCTCTCATCTTTTTAAGTGGGAGAACTTGCACAATTGGTGGCTGACTAAATACTTTTTTTCCCCACTGTATGTGGTTAGCTGATATGTTAAATACCTATCCAGGCGTTGTGAGGTCTGGCAAGTGTCTGCAATGTAGTCAGCCTGGAACATGGCCCTTCTCTCTCTGAATCTTACCCATCACCGGGCACCTCTCTCAGTTTGAGCTCCAGCGCATGGAGCTGGTTGGAGAAGCTGACAAACTCCTCTCCCTCGTCCCCGTCCTGGGGCCGGTTCTTACGGTCCTTTGCGATTGCCCTGCGCGCGGCCCGCTCATCCCGCTTCCGCTCAGCGTCACACTTCCTGATGCCGCCACGCACTGGCTTTCCTGTCTGCTTCCTAGACATGGCTGCCGGGCCTACAGACACAGATCTTTACAGATGCAGTAGATCTCTGTCACTCACTGGCACATGCAGTTGGGTTACTTCCACACAGGTGGAATCCTGTGTTTCAGAAAGAGGAGGGAAAGAATAGAGATGAGGAGAGTTTGAATGTAACTTAGAAAATGAGCTACAACGTGTACCAACTCAGTTACTTCCACATTTCACATACACTAACTGGTACAGTAGCCAGCTACAAAAAGATGGTTCTTATTAGCTAGTTACTGTCAGTTGATACGTGGCACAGCAGGCAATTGCAATTCCAAATGGGTTAGCTAATTATGCTGTAGCTGTCTAGCTCTCAAACTGTAGGCGGCATTCTGCCTTCTCCCTACTGTTTTCAGCCTTCAGCTTCGCCCATGACTGGCTCATGTGAACTACAATCCCGACGCTGTGTTTTATTGTTTAGAAACGTCAATAATCATCGCTTGTGATATATCTTTCATCAGTGAGAAATAATCCTTCATATTAAAAAATATATACTTAATCGAGCACACAGCCATGCAATCTCCATAGACAAATATTGGCAGTAGAATGGCCTTACTCTAGGATGCCACCTTTCCAACAAGTCAGTCCGTCAAATTTCTCCCCTCCTAGAATTGCCCAGGTCGACTGTAAGTGCTGTTATTGTGAAGTGGAAACGTCTAGGAGCAACAACGGCTCAGCCGCGAAGTGGTAGGCCACACAAGCTCACAGAACTGCCTCTGGAAACAACGTCAGCACAAGAACTGTTTGTTGGGAGCTTCATGAAATGGGTTTCCAAGGCCGAGCAGCTGGACACAAGCCTAAGATCACCATGTGCAATGACAAACGTCGGCTGGAGTGGTGTAAAGCTCGCCGCCATTGGACTCTGAAGCAGTGGAAACGCGTTCTCTGGAGTGATGAATCACACTTCACCATCTGGCAGTCTGACGGACGAATCTGGGTTTGGCAGATGCCAGAAGAACACTACCTGCCCCAATGCATAGTGCCAATTGTAAAGTTTGGTGGAGGGGGAATAATGGTCTGCGGTTGTTTTTCATGGTTCGGTCTAGGCCCCTTAGTTCCAGTGAAGGGAAATCTTAACGCTACAGCATACAATTACATTCTAGATGATTCTGTGCTTCCAACTTTGTGGCAACAGTTTGGGGAAAGCCCTTTCCTGTTCCAGCATGACAATGCCCCTGTGCACAAAGCGAGGTCCATACAGAAATGGTTTGTCGAGATCGGTGAGGAAGAACTTGACTGGCCTGCACAGAGCCCTGACCTCAACCCCATCAAACACCTTTGGGATGAATTGGAACGCCAACTGCGAGCCAGGCCTAATCACCCAACATCCGTGCCTGACCCCACTAATGCTCTTGTGGCTGAATGGAAGCAGGTCCCCTTCCAACATCTAGTGGAAAGCCTTCCCAGAAGAGTGGAGGCTGTTACAGCAGCAAACGGGGGACCAACTCCATATTAATGCCCATGCTTTTGGAATGAGATGTTCGACGAGCAGGTGTCCACATACTTTTGGTAATGTAGTGACCCGATCCTGTAGGTTCATGCTCTACAACATTCGGAGAGTACGACCCTGCCTTACACAGGTCCTAATCCAGGCACTTGTCATCTCCCGTCTGGATTGCTGCAACTCGCTGTTGGCTGGGCTCCCTGCCTGTGCCATGAAACCCCTACAACTCATCCAGAATGCCGCAGCCCGTCTGGTGTTCAACCTTCCCAAGTTCTCTCACGTCACCCCGCTACTCCGCACACTCCACTGGCTTCCAGTTGAAGCTCGCATCTGCTACAAGACCATGGTGCTTGCCTACGGAGCTGTGAGGGGAACGGCACCTCCGTACCTTCAGGCTCTGATCAGTCCCTACACCCAAACGAGGGCATTGCGTTCATCCACCTCTGGCCTGCTGGCCCCCCTACCTCTGCGGAAGCACAGTTCCCGCTCAGCCCAGTCAAAACTGTTCGCTGCTCTGGCACCCCAATGGTGGAACAAGCTCCCTCACAACGCCAGGACAGCGGAGTCACTCACCACCTTCCGGAGACACTTGAAACCCCACCTCTTTAAGGAATACATGGGATATGATAAAGTAATCCTTCTACCCCCCCCTTACCCCACAAAAAAATAAAAACGTTAGTGGACTGGCCAGTTTTGAGCTTTACTGTAGCTAGTTATAGCTAATTGCATTAGCTGATCATTAGCTGATAAGTAACTAGCTAGCTAGCGAGCAACTGTTATGCCAGCTGGATATGACTGCAAGAAAGCTAGGTTAGCCGACTATTTAGCTAGCTGGCTAAGTAACGACTTTGCAAACGTTAGCTGCTAATGCTAATGGATAGGTCTGTTAGCCAGCTGGCTAGCTCGAGTCTCGTTCTCGCTGATTTCTAGTTAAACACAACAGTGATTAAATGTCAAGCCATCAGAATATAACGAAAGTAACAATTTACTCACATTCCATAGAGCGCACCCAATGATACGCAACACACGTCCTATACTACGTTATTTTTGCCTAAATCAGATCTGACTCATGAGTTTGTTTACAATTCCTGTTCAGCACCACCTCCGAGACTGTAAGAGTACGGAAGCATGAGTGCATCAAATCAAATCAATAGGTCGTTTTCAATAAAACGTCACAATACGTTCGATTTGGCTGCTGTGGGGCAAGTAGACCCCCAGCTCCACTAAAACCATTCACAACTACGTGCCGTTTTCAAGGGATTGTTAAATAAATGTAATAACCATTTGGTTTTAATATCATCACCTATTGAGCATAGTCAGCAACTACAAATGTCAGATTATTCCATGCAAAACAATTGCGCACATTTAGCTGTATCATCAGAGTTATACTGCAAGTAATTGCATGCTTTTCATGATCAGTAAAGATCAACGATGCAGAAAGAAAAAAAATAGTTAACTAAATGTATTTGTATTTGAGTATTTACCAGCATTTATAACTTGAGTCTGATAATTCTCTGTACTAAACAGTTAATCTGATAATACTTGTGGAATATAAAAACACTTGCTTGATATATTCTTTCCAGTTCCTTGAAATATTTTGCAAATGCAACTTATTTCTATGTGTAAACTCAAATGGCCTATTCATTTATTTTACATTTTAGTAGATGCTCTTATCAAGAGCAACTTACAGTAGTGAGTGCATACATTTTAGTAGTGGTCTCCCATGGGAATCAAACCCACAACCCTAGCATTGCAAGCACCATTCTCTACCAACTGAGCCACATCATCACAAACCACTTGATGTCTCAATGTACTCAAGTGTACAGGTATCAAACCTAGATGACCAGCCTATGTACAATACAGTAATGTACATTTAGCGTACAGTAAGTGGTTTGTAAGGATGTTAAATTAATACTGCACAAAAAGTGGCTGTTTTCCATGTTATTTGATCAAGAAAAGTATTTATTTTGATGTGGATGTTTTGTGTCTTTGCCCATAATTTAGCACCTTTTGATGTAAATGTTTGAGACCAGGGTTTTGTTCTTTCTGGATTCTATTAGAATGACAATAGCAGAGAAAGGGACAGGGCAACAACTCTTACAATTCCAACTATTGAATCCTGTAAGATACTGTTCTTAATTATACAACTACATTTTTTGCCAAAGATGTTTGTTGAGATGTTTAAAAAATGTTTTTGCCAGCACTGCAGATGTCTATATCGGTCCGCTAATACTAGTAAAGGCCCTGTGCACTACTTTTGTGAAAAAAATATATTTTTCTACAATTTGTTTTCTATATTTTTAAATAAATATATTTTTTAAAATCTGATTTTTCAGGGGGTGCTACAGCACCCTCAGCACCCCTACTTCCCGCAGCTATGTACCACGGTAAATGCACCCTTCTGCTGCTTGATAGGCAGAGCCCACAAAATATGGGAAATTAACCTAAACCACTCATATCAATCAATCAATCACATTTGATTTATAAAGCCCTTTTTATATCAGCAGATGTCACAAAGTGCTATACAGAAAACCCAGCCTAAAACCCCAAACAGCAAGCAATGCAGATGTAGAAGCACGGTGGCTAGGAAAAACTCCCTAGAAAGGCAGAAACCTAGGAAGAAACCTAGAGAGGAACCAGGCTCTGAGGGGTGGCCAGTCCCCTTCTGGCTGTGCCGGGTGGAGATTATAACAGTACATGGCCATTAAGGCCAGATTTTTCTCCAAGATGTTCAAACTTTCATAGATGACCAGCAGGGTCAAATAATAATCACAGTGGTTGTAGAGGTTGCAACAGGTCAGTACATCAGGAGTAAATGTCACTTGGCTTTTCATAGCAGGGCATTTAGAGGTTGAAATAGCAGGTGCGGTAGAGAGAGAGAGTTGAAAACAGCAGGTCTGGGACAATGTAGCACGTTCGGTGAACAGGTCAGGGTTCCATAGCCGCAGGCAGAAGAGTGGAAATTGGAGCAGCAGCACGACCAGGTGGACTAGGGACAGCAAGGAGTCATCAGGCCAAGTAGTCCTGAGGCATGGTCCTAGGGCTCAGGTTCTCAGGGATGGGAGGGAGAGAGCGAAAGAGAGAGAATTAGAGGGAGCATACTTAAATTCACACAGGACACCGGATAAGACAGGAGAATAACACCAGATATAACAGACTGACCCTAGCCCCCCGGCACCTAGACTATTGCAGCATAGATACTGGAGGCTGAGACAGGGGGGGCTAGGGTCAGGTATAGTTCAGGTATAGTTGACTTGTATTTTATATCACTCAAATATCAAATATCCAAATAATGGTGGCCAATATTGAGAGATATCATGAGGCTACTCTACATATCTGAAATTACATGATCAATTGATGTTACTGATCATGAAAAGAATGCAGTTACTTGCTGTATAACTGATGATAGAGCTAAATGCGCGCAGTTGTTTTGCATGGAATAATCAGAAATTTGTAGGTCTGACTATGCTCTTCAAGAGGTGATGATATTACAACCAAATAATTAACATTTATTTAACAATCCCTTGAAAACGGCACGCAGTTGTCAATGGTTTTAGCCGAGCTGTGGGTCTCCTTGTCCCCCAACAGAAAAATCGAACGCTCTTATTGAAAATGACCTATTTGTAAAACGTTCAGCTCACCTTAAAACCCCTACTTCAACTGTGTTGATAAATGTTAATTACTTGATTTTCACTAAGCAAGAATGGTTTAGTTAATGTTGATGTAGAAACATTGGGGATAGAGTGGGGCACTTTCACAGGGAAAGACAACCCCTTGGTAGTAATCTTTAAAACAGTTACATATCGTTAGTAATTGTGTAGGCTAGGCCTACTTATTAACGCTGTGGTTAAGTTCAGATCAAGCTTTCTGTGCTATGAAACAACTTTGCATGTCTACCAACTGAGATATGAAAACTTGGTTGGTACATGATGGTCAACAGTCATCAAGCGAACAAGCTCTGAATCATGTTCATCTCAGAAATCTGTGTGTTACAGTGTATGACTCAGGATAAAGTGAAAATCTGTTACATTTTGAAGCACCACAATGCAGGCTCTCTTCTCCAGTCCTCTCCTCCTTATGTCAGATTGCAGTTGGAAAGAGTCTTGTGGAGGAGGAGTGGGTTGAGGAGGACAGAGAGTGTTTGCTGTGTAGAATACCATCAGACATTGTCACAGATGTAGCCTCAGGACCAAAAAAAGCATCAGCAGGCATTAGAAGGAAATAAGAATGTCTATATAACAACAAGAAGAAAACACAGTCCAGTGTATACCTTCCCAGTTGTATTAGAGATTAGCATTACAAACTAAAACGATGTGTTCTGGTTTAGATGCTAGGAATGTATTTGCTTGTATTTGTTTATGCACTGACATCTTGTACATAAAGCAGCTATCTGCTTTGTTTAAATTATAAAGGGATGTACTATACCTGCTCTACTCAGTACCTTAGCCTTATACGAGAAGGTAAGGATCAACAACAAGGTTAACATGATGCCCCTTTGACTACGTGTAGCCTATATGGTTCATTGTTCATTTACAACACTCATTTCAGCAAATAGTGAAGAAGACATAAGTACATTCATTAGTTAAGTCAACTTAAGTCAAGTCACAATTTATTTAAAGTCCATTTCATAAAGTCTCAACACACTTTACAGAGTCCAGTGACAGCAGGAGGAAAGATGGAAGGATCGCAGGGTAGCACAGCAGAGAGGATGGAGAGTAGATGGAGAGTAGATGGAGAACAGATGGAGAATGGATGGAGAATTGAATATGGTGGCTTGGTCACAGGGTAAGCAGCCAGGCGATCAGGAGGGCGGGTCAGTGGGTTGACTGACAGTGGATCCTGGGCCGTGTGAAGGAGGCTCACAGGCTCCTAGCAGAGGATAGTTAGGGAAGCAGTTAGTTGAATTAATAGGGGACGAACAGATACATATCATTGAGGAAAAGTGTTAGATTGTGTTAGGCCAAAAGAAACAGCATTTTGAACAGGAAAGTTGGTCCAACACAGAAAGCAAAGATAGAAAGAGGGAGAAATCCATTGGAAGTGGTGCATTCCATGGTACTGAACTAGTAGGCTAGTAGCCTAGTAGCCCAATACGGAGAAAGAGGGAGAAATACATTGGCAGTGGTGCTCTCCTGAACTGATAGCAAGCAGCCTAGTAGCCCAACACAAAGGGAGCGTGGCAGGCTGCTTTCCATGGTCCTGAATTCGTAAACTAGCCTTGTGGCTAATTTTGATTGCTAACCTCTTAAGGATCGAACCCTTTTTTACCATTTTCGCCTAAAATGACATACCCTAATCTAACTGCCTGTAGCTCAGGACCTGAAGCAAGGATATGCATATTCTTGATACCATTTGAAAGGAAACACTTTGAAGTTTGTGGAAATGTGAAATGAATGTAGGAGAATATAACACATTAGATCTGGTAAAAGATAATACAAACAAAAAAACAAGCGTTTTCTATTATTATTATTATTATTATTATTATTTTTAATCATCTTTGAAATGCAAGAGAAAGGCAACAATATAATATTGCAGTTTAGGTGCAATTTCAATTTAGCAGTGTGTGCAAAGTTTCAGATTGATCCAGTGAAGCGTTGCAATACTGGACTATTTTGTATCAAGTCTGCCCAAATGTGCCGAATTGGTCAATTGATACATTTTCAAGTACATAACTATAGAGAACATATAACAATTATATGGTAATACAAAATGTAACGTTACACACTCCCAGGAATGTCATACATGATGGATTGTTATCTTCTACACTAACTTTCACACATCTAGATGGCGGGGTGGGTGTGGAGACAGTGACAGCAGGGCTTCAAACTGTAGAACCCATTTCCTACATTTGAATATAAAAATTGATTTGATCAAACAAAACTATGCTACATTTTATCTCTGGGACCCTTAGGATGACAAATCAGAGCAAGATTACTGAATGTAAGTACACTACCGTTCAAAAGTTTGGGGTCACTTAGAAATGTCCTTGTTTTCCATGAAAACATACATGAATGAGTTTGAATAGGAAATATAGCAAAATGAAGAGGAAATGTAGTCATTGACAAGGTTAGAAATAATTATTTTTAATTGAAATAATAATTGTGTCCATCAAACTTTGCTTTCGTCAAAGAATCCTCCATTTGCAGCAATTACAGCCTTGCAGACCTTTGGCATTCTAGTTGTCAATTTGTTGAGGTAATCTGAAGAGATTTCACCCCTTGCTTCCTGAAGCACCTCCCACAAGTTGGATTGGCTTGATGGGCACTTCTTATGTACCATACAGTCAAGCTGCTCCCACAACAGCTCAATAGGGTTGAGATCCGGTGACTGTGCTGGCCACTCCATTATAGACAGAATACCAGCTGACTGCTTCTTCCCTAAATAGTTATTGCATAGTTTGGAGCTGTGCTTTGTCCTGTTGTAGGAGGAAATTGGCTCCAATCAAGTGCCGTCCACAGGGTATGGCATGGCATTCCAAAATGGAGTGATAGCCTTCCTTCTTCAAGATCCCTTTTACCCTGTACAAATCTCCCACTTTACCACCAAAGCACCCCCAGACCATCACATTGCCTCCACCATGCTTGGCAGATGGCATCAAGCACTCCTCCAGCATCTTTTCATTTGGTCTGCGTCTCACAAATGTTCCTCTTTGTTTCTGGCCATTTTGAGCCTGTAATCGAACCCACAATTGCTGATGCTCCAGATAGTCAACTAGTCTCAAGAAGGCCAGTTTTATTGCTTATTTAATCAGCACAGCAGTTTTCAGCTGTGCTAACATAATTGCAAAAGGGTTTTCTAATGATCAATTAGCCTTTTAAAATGATAAACTTGAATTAGTAAACACAACGTGCCATTGGAACACAGGACTGATGGTTGCTGATAAAGGGCCTCTGTATGCCTATGTAGATATTCCATTAACAATCAGCCGTTTCCAGCTACAATAGCCATTTACAACATTAACAATGTCTACACTGTATTTCTGATCAATTTGATGTTATTTTAATGGAGGAAAAAAAATGCTTTTCTTTCGAAAACAGGGACATTTCTAAGTGACCCCAAACTTTTGAACGGTAGTGTACATTATTTACCTTCAGAGGTGATTGTATCAAACCAGTTGCCATGATATGTTTTTTGTTGTTGTGCACTCTCCTCAAACAATAGCATGGTATTTTTTCACTGTAATAGCTACTGTAAATTGGACAGTGCAGTTAGATTAACAAGAATGTAAGCTTTCTTCCCATATAAGACATGTATGTCTACGTCCTGGAAAGTTTGCTGTTACTTACAACAGTCATACAAATCACATTAGCGCACGTTAGCTCAACCGTCCCATATACGGGACACCGATCCCATTGAGGTTAAAGAACATACAGCTATGACTATTGAAGGTAACAAAGCAGAATGTAATTACATTGTGTAACGACAGTTTATCTTCCAACAGGTAGCCTGACAGGGGGCATCCTTGGGAATTTGTCCAGAATGCATAGCCTAGTTTAATTATATGTTTAGGCTATAGAATTAGCCAACTAAGTAGGGCTAAATACATTTGCTATCTAGCTTGCATCTTGTGAGATTTGTCTTTGGGTTGTGTTGCACAACCAGTTAGGTCTGAATGAACAACCTGGACTCAGGGGTAAGCATAACATAGTAAATGTAAATGCGGGACACTCCAATTTGTATGATATGTTACGTTTCGAATGGTATGTATTAATTGGTGGCTGTCCATCATCCATTTTGTATGATATGTTACGAATTACAATTTGTATGATATGTTACGAATTGCAATTCTTACAATATATCACGAATTTGAAAAATGTATGATATGGGTCATTCTACAGATTCGGTGACATTTCAGTATTGTCAGTGTCCCAAGATGTACTAGTGTTATAACTTGTCAGAACATTTATCAAACTACACTTAAATTACAACATTTCAAAGTTTTACATGTTTTTAATATGGAGTAGAGAATATGATTTTAAACAGAGATGAATTTCAATACTTATATGTTTGCTTTTCTTAGGAGTATTAAGAATTTCGCCTGTCCCTATTGACCATCATGCAAATGGCGTGACTCATTTTGAGTACACAGTGTTAAATAATAATGCTTTTTTTTTGTTAAATTAATTGTATATGCCCCCTTATTATGCATAATCCATTTTCTCAGCATAAGACATTTTATTTTCTGAGAAATTCGGGCTTTTACCCCTGTCCTTGTATTTCTTTCAACCCCGTAATGCAACAATACCCCCACTCACAATTAAATAATGGTTTGATCCTGTGGACATCATTTATGAGGAAGTGACATCATACAAGTCTTCAGAGAAGCCTGGTGTGACAAGTGGTAAGCTGCTCTCTCACTTTTTATAAATATTTCATGTTTTTTAAGCACATATGGGCTTTGTCAATCTCAGGTATTCAACTCTGTTGGGGGGGGGGGGGGAATTCATAGTTAAGATTTTACCAATATTTGTTTTTTATAGCTATGAAGTATAACAATGTCTTTTGTTGAATAAGGCCATGTGGCACACTGCTAGCTGCTAGCATCCCGAATTAGCAACAGATTAGCACAAAATCTTCAACCCTGTCACATTCAACCCCATCACATTTTTCAATGTTACGGGGTTGAATGGCTGTTACAGGGTTGAATAGCTGTTAAATCTTAGTAATATTTAATGTATATTGCTTAATACCAATCATATTTTCTTGTTGAATGTTTGTTGTTTACGGTTTTACAGTATCAACTAAAAGTACGAGGAATTTTTGAAAATAATAACTTTAAAAAAGTGACAATTAATTTGTTCTCTCTCCTATATACATTGACATATTTAGGAGTATTATCTGCAAGTTCATGTTCATTTTACTACATAGTGATTAAAAGGATACAATATTTAGTCTTGAAGAGTAAGCAGGTCATTGACTTGACCTTGACCTACAATTTCAGATTCAACAATGGAAAAAACAGCAGCAGAAAGGAAACACACATAGAGAGGAAGGTGAGGGACATCCGCGCACCGGTGGTCAGGTAATTCTCCTGGAAATGTAAGATCTTTAAGACACGAGGTGGTGGTGGTCATGGACACACAATCAACAGAAAATAAAGTTTTGTTGCTTTAAAGCATAATTTGGTAATGCATAAAAAGACTAGAGAATGTAAATGAAGACTAGTCTAAAAAGACATACAGTATACTGCCTTGGCAACTGGTGCGTGAGGGGTTCATGTTCACTAGCCGACTGGTTTGTACTGACATATTTAGGAGTATTATCTGCAAGTTCACGTTCATTTTACTACATAGTGATTAAAAGGATACAGTAATTAGTTTTGGAGAGTAAACTGGTCATTGACTTGACCTTGACCTACAATTTCAGATGTTGTTACTGTTATTAGTTCATTAATGTGTTTTACTCTGTCTAGCTTTCATCTAGATTCTTTAGATTTTAAAAGCTATGTTGACAGTAGGTTTAAAAATGTTTAAAATGTTTAAAAAATGGCAACATGTTAGTGATCTCAAAAGATAAAACATATGACATGTGATGCTTTTCACTCAACCCTGTTACATGATTTTCAACCCTGTTGCGGTGCATTCATCCCTGTTACGAGATTATTTTTTTTACATTTTTGTATTAAATACACAAAATATAACATCAATAGTGTTTTTATTGTGTGTATTAAATCAGGGTAAATAAGGCTATTTCAATTTTGTCAGGAATTACGCAGCATTCTTGCACATTTCTTGCGAAAAATGTGGAGTTAGATTAGAAATTTCTTCATCGTAAACTGGAAAGGATGGTGCTGGTCAGTTTTTCTTGATTTTCTCTTTAATTACAATATGCCATTATTTACAAGGGACATCTAAACTGTGAGATTATGCCAGAAGCTGATCTCAAGCTTATTGGAAAAATGAATAGTTGAATAACAAAATGACTGTGACGGGGTTGAATTAAATTGGGACTTGTTTGAGAAAATAATACAGAATAATAACTTAATACTCTACATTGAGATGGGAAGTACACACATTACTTTGTCACATCAAATAAAAAAAAGCTTAAGATTTTAATGTTCATTGTTTCATCCTCCTCAATCACAAAAGGCACCGAATCTGTAGAATGACCCATATGTTACCAATTCCAATTTGTTTTGGCTAACGTTAGCTAAGTGGCTAGGTGGCTAATGCTAATGTTAGCTCGGTGGCTAAGGTTAGCTTTAGCCACCTTGCCAACAAATTACAAATTACCTGAGTCCAGGTTGTTCATAACGCTAGGCTAGGGGTTAGGGTTAAGGTTAAGGTTAGGGTTAGGAGTTAATTTAAAGGGTTAAGGTTAGGGTTAGGGGAAGGGATAGCTAACATGCTAAGTAGTTGCAAAGTACAGTAGCTAAAAAGTAGTAAGTAGTTGCAAAGTTGCTAAAATGCTACAGTTGTCTGTAGCTAGGTTTCCATCCAATTGGCGACAGATTTCCTGCAAATATTCTAAAATCCACATAAAGAAAGTATGCGCATTTTCCCACCAGTGGTGTGTTTCCACCCAACGGACTTCAGTGCGTGATGACTCAGTGCACACAAAATGTATTTTTTGCTTAAGTTTTCATGTACCGAATAAAAATCTAAAGTTCAATGTGTTTCCATCTGATTTTCAACTCTACCAATAGTTTTGTCACAAAAACTGTTACGTTGAATAGCAACAGACCTACTCTGGTCTTGGCACATGTGCTCTAGCCAACAGCTCGCAGATACAGTGCAGGTAAAATGTGCTGGTAGGCTAGTCTACATGATGACATTATTATGGATAAGAGCGAGAATATTTATTTGTCAAACGGCAGTCAAGCATTGATCATCATGTCACCAGAATAAGACCCTCGATATTTATTGAAAAGGAGCATCAAGATCAGAGTGCACTTTCACCACCCTATAGCCTAATAAACGGAATGGTTTCCCGAGTCATAGTGGGAGGACCACAGACCATATCATCAAGTTTACTTCGATATGATGGTTATTATATCAATATTTGCGCATAAAGGCGTTTCCACCACCATTTGTCGAATAATTAATTTTACCAACACAAAAAGATCCCACCATTGTACCGAAACTACGTTTCCATCACAGTTGTTGTGATTTTTTTTATACGGTATGACTTTGCTCGCATAAAAACTGTGGAAACGTGGTTTGTGATGAGATTCGAACATGCAATCTTTGTGTTGCTAGATGTTCGCGTTATACATCTACCCATCCACCCCGACCAACCACCCTTTTCATTTTTTGCCTTGAAGAGCCACTGAACATGCCAATTGGCACGTGTGTTTTTCTGTTGCTCATTAGAAAAACGAGATTTCAGTCTTGGAGGTGTGTATCCTGACCGATTCAGCGTTTGGTTAATGATGTTTGTCCCCCATGAGACACTGTAGAGGAAGCCTATTTCACTTCCTCAAAATCCCCAGAATGAATCTAAAATAATTCAAGAAATCTGTAATTAATGTTGATGTTTTTGCTAAGTATGTTTTAGTTGTTCAATTTCACATCTAACTAAGGTGTTTGGTGCAGTATTTCTCAAGTTCAAAAATGTGTGATGTGTTGTCTTATGTAAACAGTCGGAGCTGCTGGGCAGGTCTGTCTCACTGTCTATGCTATTGGATAGAGAGCAGTCACCGCAGCTGTTCACCCCCACATGTTAGTGGACAAATGGACATCATCAAACAAAACCCAACCTTCATTTTTTACCTGTTGTGATGCATAGATGTTCCAATCTCTGTTTAGGCGAGATACTTACTTTTTTACCAAAAATAATCCTATTTGCACTTTGTAGTCAATTCTGACTCATATCGATGCCACATAGGCCATTTTCAAAGGGATTCGTTGCTTTTTAAAGGCAGTCGCTTTTAAGTAACCTTCTGTCTTATGTACCCATACCAAACTTAACATATCATACTAATTTCAGTGTGCCAGATTTACATTTTACTATGTTATGTCTAGTCTATGTGACCAGGCTGGAATGAATGGAGCATCTGGGAAGAAGTGAATGAAAGTTAATTTTGAGGGACAACTGTCTTGCCACCTACAATACGCTTTACTATTAGGCTACACAATGCATATCGACTTCAACTAATAAAACAATAACTCTAGTGAATGCTAATACAAAAAGCGTATAAAGTCCAATGTTGTATCATACAGTGCCAGCCAATGAGAAATTGGCCGCACTCAGGAATTCGTCGAAGCGAAATGGCGCAGAAACCGAAAATGAACTGCAACGTCGAGTGGGGAAAGACTAGAGAGCGAGAGACTGGTAGGACAAAGGGGAGAGGGTGATCAGTAAAGCGGGTGAAAAGGTATAGAGGTTAAACCATTGCGAATATTCTTGGAATGATTTGCTTGAATGGCTCTGGGTGTTTCACAGACAAATGCAATCGGGTGACACAGAATTTTCCCCTCTCTCTCTCTCTCTCTCCCTCTCTCTCTCTCTTTCACACACACACACGCAAAGGGATGGTGGATGCTTCTGACTCGATGGCTAAGACAAGGTGGGATAATCATGAGTGTCTGGCCCCGGGCGTTGATGCAGCTGCCATTGCCTGGTCTTTACTGGACTGAGGCTAGGATTGTTCCGGTTCCGACTGGATCTACATCTCTATTCGGCTTGACGTCGATGTTATCAAGCTATTTACATGTAAGAAGACAACGACTGATGTAGCCTAAAACGCGCAACCGCAATTATTTAAAAAAAATCTGAATGGAGTAATTACATGCTCCTATCGATGGAGGAGGATCTTATTTATGATAACTAATAAACTGCTGTCTTGGAGGAAGGGGGGCAGTAGCCAGGGACATCCCCGTGAGACGACCGGCTCACCCTTTCTCCTGTTTGCTACGATTTTTTGAACGAGATCGGTACGTAGGCTGCAGTGAAAATAACATAATTGCATTAGTAATCAGGCTAGGACACCCTCTCCAACAGCACCCTAATTTCGCCGTTCCCGGCGCAGCAACCGCGGCACCGAACGCAAACCCGTCCACGACCCGGTCCGCGCCATCAAATCGACGCATTACTGGATGGGGAGTAGCATAGACTGTGAAGACCGTGAGTGCGTGTGTCAAAAGGGGGACAGAGGGAGACCGGGCCAGCTCATCCCCCCTGCACCGGTTAATTGCGCTCCAATCTGGCAAGTTTGAAGGGACGGAGTGTCCGGTGCAGTAAGAGCGCCTCAATGACCGTATCCTCCCCGGACAGGTAGAGAAGGCTAGAGAACGGCGGCGAGTTTGGAAGTTTTGATGCATATGATCACAACCACCATGATTTTTATGATTCTTGGCGCTTCAGTTGTAATGGTAAGAGATCTGCTTTTTATTATGCGCCCCATCGTGTGTGTTAAACGCCTACAGCAATTATTTTAATGTATGGAGCCTATAAACTAATAATGTAGCTATAGATATTACAAATAGCCTACAGATCACATTTGATATCACTGAAAATAATGATGACTTGAGAAAGTAGCCTACATACATACCTTGGCTATCATAAATAAACAATCTAAAGAACATTTTAGAGCGAGGGTTGCAAGGTGGGTTTCCAAATGTATTTTTCTATTTTCTCTTATATGGACTGTAGCCTAATAACAGGTCATATAACCGTGCTGTGTTGGAAATGATGCTTGTCATGTGAGTTGACTCGAATGGTTATTTGCAGGCGATAGCCTGTTTAATGGACATGAACGCACTACTGGATCGCTTTCACAACTACATTTTACCGCATCTACGAGGGGAAGACCGCGTCTGTCATTGCAACTGTGGAAGGTAAAAAAATTAATATATCATACAGTGATTCGTTTGGATGTATACAAATATCTTAAATGAAAGCGTAGCCTTAAGAGTCAAGAGAGCTGCTATGTTATCCGTCTAATCATAGGCTCATACTCGCTCAATAGGCCTCTCGAATGATTTCTCCTGCTGAACTGTTTGTTTTAATAAGCCTCCAAACATGCTCTATGCGTAGGCCTAATCTCTTGAAAATGTACCTAATTGATGTCGACTCTGCTTTTATTCGAGGTATGCGTGTGTCTAACCGTAGGAGAGCCTTATTTTTCGATGCCTAGGTTGTGACGGTGTTTTTAAGCATATATTCCGTTATTTGGCTTTTACTGCATACGAAGGTGTGTGAGCCATAAATATGTTATGAATTATGAGGAATGGGCTAAGGAATCATTTTAAACGAAGACGGCCCACAATGACTGTTCAAGTGCGGTTTGCATTTTCAATATTTAGATATGAGGAAATGTTGTTGGAGAGAGGACATAAAGGCTAGCCTATACCTATATTGAACCAGTTGTGAGAATGATCCTAAATATACATTGATCTATTACTGATAACCCATATTATGAAGGCTGAAAATGGAATGAAATGATGATTAGGCCAGGTTTCCTATTGCTGTTGTGATTAGGCCTATACAAGTTATATGTGGCCTCAGATTTTCTCGATTGGGGGTCTAGGCTCCTTACTACTTGAATTAGTGTGTTGTAAAACATTAAATAATGCCAGTGAGATTGGTACAGGTTTCATATGACTGACTCACATACAGGAACTGTAAACCTAAATTGGCCCCTGGTCTTAGAGTTTTATTTTATTTATTTTTTGTGAAGTGCTGTACCTTGCCCAAGGGTATGTCAACAGCGTTGTGCCAGGTTTTAAAATAAGAGCCCTCTGATCCAATAGATACACACCTATCGACTTCATTAGGATATTAAGCCCTGGATAAAGGCAAGTTGAGGCCTGAGTCCGAACACATACATATTGCAACATGTTGTAAGTGTTGGGTTATTCTTGGTTGGATCTAATTCAGTCACTGAGGACAGGAAAATCTGCTCTGAGTTGTCCCACTGATGTGATATCACCGCAGTCACATTGTAGCAGGTCTTGGCCCTGTATGAATACTGTTATTTTGACTGCCTACAATTCAACAACCTGAGATATGGGTAATGTTGTGTCACTAAGATCAGGATTGTCATCATAAAATAATCTTGGCCAAAATTTGGGGAGGGCCTCTCTCTCACTCCCTCTCATAAAAAAAAAAAAAAAATACCAGTCAGGAGGATAGATTAGGCCATTAGATATGCAGAAAAATAGACATATTTTTGACATAGAATTAAGCATAATGATTATGGCTCTAGATTGCAGAAAAAGCTGTTTCAGGTGTTTAAAAAATGCAATATTCTCCAACTACAGGATGGGGGGCCTCTCTCCGGATCAACCCCCAGCCATCCTCAAATACTTTGTGCCCTCTCAGATTTTTGGGCTGCATGAATCCCTTGAATTAAGTGAAAGGAAAGCGAGTGACACAGTGGCTGCATCCAGGCTCTGGTCAAAAGTAGTGCACTATGTAAGGAAAAAGGTGTCATTTGGGACGCAGCCCACTTTGTCTTCTACTGACCTGAAAATTATCTTAAATAAGAGCTACTAATTTTACGTACAATGTTTACCCTCTCAGCATAAACATTTAATGGAACAGACAGATGAGGCCACCATGTGCTTGAATGCTTCCTGAGCCTACCTTAAGTGCATGTGGTGTTGAGGCATCATTCTGCGATAATGCACACCTAATCAAATCAAATGAAATTGTATTTGTCACATGCGCCGAATACAACAGGTGTAGACCTTACCGTGAAATGATTACTTACAAGCACTTAACCAACAATGAATGCAGTTTTAAGAAAATTGAGTTAAGAAAATATTTACTAAATAAACTAAAGTAAAAAACAAGGCTATATACAGGGGGTACCGGTACCGAGTCAATGTGTGGGAGTACAGGTTAGTTGAGGTAATTTGTACATGTAGGTAGGGGTAAAGTGATTATGCATAGATAATAAACAGCAAGTAGCAGCAGTGTAAAAACAAAGATGGCGTAGCAGTGCGGTCGTGGTTTTATTCTGTGTCCTAGTGTAAATATCCAGTTTCTTGTTTTTTTGTCTATTTTGTATATATTTCTCAATTTTACTTTTCATTCTTTAACTAAATATACTTTCCTGCAACCCGCCTCACCCAACGTGGAAAGGATTCTATTATTTCTTTATAACTTTCATCAAGAACCTTAAGCTGAAACTAGTCTAGCTGCAACTGAATGGCTACTTGCTATTAGTCACCGTTAGCGTCTTCACCATTGTCCGTGGCCTACACTATCCACCAGCCAGCTCTAGCTCTAGCCTGGACAATTCGTCGGCCAGTCTGCACAGCGTGCTATCGACCCAGAGCATATCAGACTTTCTGCCGGAATCACTGGACCCTAGCGCCGGATCATTGCAACCAGCTAGCTGCAACCTGTTGTTGGCTAATTACCATTGCCCCATAGCAAGCACCAGTTAGCCTTGAGCTAGCCTCAGGCCCATCTCCCGGCTATCTACCTCTCTGTCAACCGGACGGGACCTCCTAGTGTTGACACTGAGCCCCGCCGATCCAACACGACTGGTTTGCCGATGAAATCGTCTGATGTGGTTTCAACAGGCTTCCCGTTGCGACGACCACGAAGATCCATCTGCTAGCCCCGGCCCGCTAGCACACGCAAACTACAACTGTGCTTCCTGCTAGCTGTGCTGAAGCACCAATTTGAACTGCTCTCGGACTCACATATTGCTGTTCACTGGACCTTATGATCACTCAGCTGCACAGCTGATGCCTGCTGGACTGTTCCTTTACACGGTACCCTGTCCTGTTTATTCTGTTTAGCCTCAGCCCAAACTTTATCGCTATTACCAGTTGTTGTCTTAGCTCTCTCTAATAACACCTGTGATTGCTTTATGCCTCTCTCCCATGTCAATATGCCTTGCCTATTGCTGTTTGGGTTAGTTCTTATTATACAATTTCACTGTAGAACCCCAAGTCCCTCTCAAACTGCCTCAAATAGTTCCTTTGTTCCACCCCCCATACACGCCGAGACCGGCTCAATCGGTGCCTCCAGTGATGCTATCTCTTTCATTGTTACCCAACGCTTAGGTTTACCTCAACTGTACTCATATCCTTCCATATCCTTTTCTGTACATAATGCCCTGAATCTTTTCTACAACGCCCGGAAATCTGCCCCCTTTATTCTCTGTACCCAACGCACTAGAAGACCAGTTCTTAAAGCCTTTAGTCATATCCTTATTCTACTCCTCCTCTGTTCCTCTGGTGATGTAGAGGCTAACCCAGGCCCTGCAGCCCCCAGTATCACTCCTACTCCCCAGGAGCTATCATTTGTTGACTTCTGTAACCGTAAAAGCCTTGGTTTTCTGCACGTAAATATCAGAAGCTTCCTAAGTTTGAGTTATTCACTGCGTTAGCACACTCCTCCAACCCTGATGTTCTAGCAGTGTCTGAATCCTGGCTTAGGAAGGCCACCAAAAATTCTGAAATTTCCACCCCCAACTATAACATTTTCCGTCTAGATAGAACTGCCAAAGGGGGTGGAGTTGCAATCTACTGTAGAGCTCTATCATACTATCCAGGTCTGTGCCCAAACAGTTTGAGCTCCTACTTCTAAAAATCCACCTTTCCAGAAATAAGTCTCTCACTGTTGCCGCTTGCTACAGACCCCCCTCAGCCCCCAGCTGTGCCCTGGACACCATATGTGAATTGATTCCCCCCATCTATCCTCAGAGTTCGTACTGCTTGGTGACCTAAATTGGGATATGCTTAACACCCCAGCCATCCTACAATCTAAACTAGATGCCCTCAATCTCACACAAATGATCAACAAACCTACCAGGTACAAACCCTAAATCCGTAAACATGGGTACCCTCATAGATATCATCCTGACTAACTTACCCTCTAAATACACCTCCGCTGTCTTCAACCAGGATCTCAGCGATCACTGCCTTATTGCCTGCGTCCGTAACGGGTCCGCGGTCAAACGACCACCCCTCATCACTGTGAAACGCTCCCTAAAACACTTCAGCGAGCAGGCCTTTCTAATTGACCTGGCCCGGGTATCCTGGATGGATATAGATCTCATTCCTTCAGTAGAGGATGCCTGGTTGTTCTTTAAAAGTAATTTCCTCTCAATCTTAAATAAACATGCCCCATTCAAAAAATACAGAACTAAGAACAGATATAGCCCCTGGTTCTCCTCAGACTTGACTGCCCTTGACCAGCACAAAAACATCCTGTGGCGTACTGCATTAGCATCAAATAGCCCCCGCGATATGCAACTTTTCAGGGAAGTTAGGAACCAATATACACAAGCAGTTAGGAAAGCAAAGGCTAACTTTTTCAAACAGAAATTTGCATCCTGTAGCACTAACTCCAAAAAGTTTTGGGACACTGTAAAGTCCATGGAGAATAAGAGCACTTCCTCCCAGCTGCCCACTGCACTGAGGCTAGGAAACACTATCACCACCGACAAATCTACAATAATCGAGAATTTCAACAAGTATTTTGCTACGGCTGGCCATGCTTTCCACCTGGCTACCACTACCCCGGCCACCAGCTCTGCACTCTCCGCTGCAACTTGCCCATGCCCCCCCGCTTCTCCTTCACACAAATCCAGACAGCTGATGTTCTGAAAGAGCTGCAAAATCTGGACCCCTACAAATCATCTGGGCTAGACAATCTGGGCCCTTTCTTTCTAAAACTAGCCGCCGAAATTGTCGCAACCCCTATTACTAGCCTGTTCAACCTCTCTTTCGTAACGTCTGAGATCCCCAGAGATTGGAAAGCTGCCGCGGTCATCCCCCTCTTCAAAGGGGGTGACACTCTAGATCCAAACTGTTACAGACCTATATCCATCCTGCCCTGCCTTTCGAAAGTTTTTGAAAGCCAAGTTAACAAACAGATCACCGACCATTTCGAATCCCACCGTACCTTCTCCGCTATGCAATCTGGTTTCCGAGCTGGTCATGGGTACACTTCAGCCACGCTCAAGGTCCTAAACAATATTATAACCGCGATTGATAATAGACAGTACTGTGCAGCCGTCTTCATCGACCTGGCCAAGGCTTTCGACTCTGTCAACCACCGCATTCTTATTGGCAGACTAAATAGCTTGGTTTCTCAAATGACTGCCTCGCCTGGTTCACCAACTACTTCTCAGATAGAGTTCAATGTGTCAAATCGGAGGGCCTGTTGTCTGGACCTATGGCAGTCTCTATGGGGGTGCCACAGGGTTCAATTCTTGGGCCGACTCTTTTCTCCGTGTATATCAATGATGTCGCTCTTGCTGCTGGTGACTCTCAGATCCACCTCTACGCAGACGACACCATTTTGTATACATCTGGCCCTTCATTGGACACTGTGTTAACAAACCTCCAAACGAGCTTCAATGCCATACAACACTCCTTCAGTAGCCTCCAATTGCTCTTAAACACTAGTAAAACTAAATGCATGCTCTTCAATCGAACGCTGCTGGCACCCACCCACCCGACTAGAATCACTACTCTCGAAGGGTCTGACCTAGAGTATGTGGACAACTACAAATACCTAGGTGTCTGGTTAGACTGTAAACTCTCCTTCCAGACTCACATTAAGAATCTCCAATCCAAAGTTAAATCTAGAATCGGTTTCCTATTTCGCAACAAAGCCTCCTTCACTCATGCTGCCAAACATGCCCTCGTAAAACTGACTATCCTACCGATCCTTGACTTCGGCGATGTCATTTACAAAATAGCCTCCAACACTCTACTCAGCAAATTGGATGTAGTCTATCACAGTGCCTTCCGTTTTGTCTCCAAAGCCCCATATACCACCCACCACTGTGACCTGTACGCTCTTGTTGGCTGGTCCTCACTACATATTCGTCGCCAAACCCACTGGCTCCAGGCCATCTATAAATCACTGCTAGGCAAATCCCCGCCTTATCTTAGCTCATTGGTCACCATAGCAACACCCACCCGTAGTATGCGCTCCAGCAGGTATATCTCACTGGTCATCCCCAAAGCCAACACCTCCTTTGGCCGCCATTCCTTCCAGTTCTCTGCTGCCAATGACTGGAACAAATTGCAAAAATCTCTGAAGCTGGAGACACTTATCTCCCTCACTAACTTTAAGCATCAGTTGTCAGAGCACCTTACCGATCACTGCACATGTACACAGCCCATCTGAAATTAGCCCGCCCAACTACCTCATCCCTATATTGTTATTTATTTTGCTCATTTGCACCCCAGTATCTCTATTTGCACATCATCTCTTGCACATCTATCACTCCAGTGTTAATACTAAATTGTAATTATTTTGCACTATAGCCTATTTATTGCCTTACCTCCATAACTTGCTACATTTGCACACACTGTATATATATTTTCTGTTGTATTTTTGACTTTGTTTTGTTTTACCCCATATGTAACTCTGTGTTGTTGTTTTTATCGCACTGCTTTGCTTTATCTTGGCCAGGTCGCAGTTGTAAATGAGAACTTGTTCTCAACTGGCTTACCTGGTTAAATAAAGGTGAAGTAAAAATAAATAAATAAAAAGGGGGGGGGGGGATGCAAATAGTCCGGGTGGCCATTTGACTAATTGTTCAGCAGTCTTATGGCTTGGGGGTAGAAGCTGTTAAGGAGCCTTTTGGACCTAGACTTAGCGCTCCGGTACCGTTTGGTGTGCGGTAGCAGAGAGAACAGTCTATGACTTGGGTGACTGGAGTCTTTGACAATTTTTTTGGCCTTCCTCTGACACCGCCTAGTATATACAGTTGAGGTCGGAAGTTTACATACACTTAGGTTGGTTATTCGTTTTTCAACCACTCCACAAATTTCTTGTTAACAAACTATAGTTTTGGCAAGTCGGTTAGGACATCTACTTTGTGCATGACACAAGTCATTTTTCCAAAAATTGTTTACAGACAGATTATTTCACTTATAATTCACTGTATCACAATTCCAGTGGGTCAGAAGTTTACATACACTAAGTTGACTGTGCCTTTAAACAGCTTGGAAAATTCCAGAAAATTATGTCATGGCTTTAGAAGCTTCTGATAGGCTAATTGACATTATTTGAGTCAATTGGCGGTGTACCTGTGGATGTATTTCAAGGCCTACCTTCAAACTCAGTGCCTCTTTGCTTGACATCATGGGAAAATCAAAAGAAATCAGCCAAAAATTGTAGACCTCCACATGTCTGGTTCATCCTTGGGAGCAATTTCCAAACGCTTGAAGGTACCACGTTCATCTGTACAAACAATAGTACGCAAGTATAAACTCCATGGGACCACGCAGCCGTCATACCGCTCAGGTGATGAACGTACTTTGGTGCGAAAAGTGCAAATCAATCCCAGAACAACAGCACAGGACCTTGTGAAGATGCTGGAGGAAACAGGTACAAAAGTATCTACAGTGAGGGAAAAAAGTATTTGATCCCCTGCTGATTTTGTACGTTGGCCCACTGACAAAGAAATGATCAGTCTATAATTTTAATGGTAGGTTTATTTGAACAGTGAGAGACAGAATAACAACAAAAAATCCAGAAAAACGCATGTCAAAAATGTTATAAATTGATTTGCATTTTAATGAGAAAATTATTATTTGACCCCTCTGCAAAACATGACTGAGTACTTGGTGGAAAATCCCTTGTTGGTAATCACAGAGGTCAGACATTTCTTGTAGTTGGCCACCAGGTTTGCACACATCTCAGGAGGGATTTTGTCCCACTCCTCTTTGCAGATCTTCTCCACGTCATTAAGGTTTCGAGCCTGACGTTTGGCAACTCGAACCTTCAGCTCCCTCCACAGATTTTCTATGGGATTAAGGTCTGGAGACTGGCTAGGCCACTCCAGGACCTTAATGTGCTTCTTCTTGAGCCACTCCTTTGTTGCCTTGGCCGTGTGTTTTGGGTCATTGTCATGCTGGAATACCCATCCACGACCCATTTTCAATGCCCTGGCTGAGGGAAGGAGGTTCTCACCCAAGATTTGACGGTACATGGCCCCGTCCATCGTCTCTTTGATGCGGTGAAGTTGTCCTGTCCCCTTAGCAGAAAAACACCCCCAAAGCATAATGTTTCCACCTCCATGTTTGACGGTGGGGATGGTGTTCTTGGGGTCATAGGCAGCATTCCTCCTCCTCCAAACGCGAGTTGAGTTGATGCCAAATAAATCGATTTTGGTCTCATCTGACCACAACACTTTCACCCAGTTCTCCTCTGAATCATTCAGATGTTCATTGGCAAACTTCAGACGGCCCTGTATATGTGCTTTCTTGAGCAGGGGGACCTTGCGGGCGCTGCAGGATTTCAGTCCTTCACGGCGTAGTGTGTTACCAATTGTTTTCTTGGTGACTATGGTCCCAGCTGCCTTGAGATCATTGACAAGATCCTCCCGTGTAGTTCTGGGCTGATTCCTCACCGTTCTCATGATCATTGCAATTCCACGAGGTGAGATCTTGCATGGAGCCCCAGGCCGAGGGAGATTGACAGTTATTTTGTGTTTCTTCCATTTGCGAATAATCGCACCAACTGTTGTCACCTTCTCACCAAGCTGCTTGGCGATGGTCTTGTAGCCCATTCCAGCCTTGTGTAGGTCTACAATCTAGTCCCTGACATCCTTGGAGAGCTCTTTGGTCTTGGCCATGGTGGAGAGTTTGGAATCTGATTGATTGATTGCTTCTGTGGACAGGTGTCTTTTATACAGCTAACAAGCTGAGATTAGGAGCACTCCCTTTAAGAGTGTTCTCCTAATCTCAGCTCGTTACCTGTATAAAAGACACCTGGGAACCAGAAATCTTTCTGATTGAGAGGGGGTCAAATACTTATTTCCCTCATTAAAATGCAAATCAATTTATAACATTTTTGACATGCGTTTTTCTGGATTTTGTTGTTGTTATTCTGTCTCTCAATGTTCAAATAAACCTTCCATTAAAATTATAGACTGATAATTTCTTTGTCAGTGGGTAAATGTACAAAGTCAGCAGGGGATCAAATACTTTTTTCCCTCACTGTATATCCACAGTAAAACGAGTCCTATATCGACATAACCTGAAAGGCCGCTCAGCAAGGAAGAAGCCACTGCTCCAAAACCGCCATAAAAAAGCCAGACTATGGTTTGCAACTGCACATGGGGATAAAGATCGTACTTTTTGGAGAAATGTCCTCTGGTCTGATTAAAAAAAATAGAACTGTTTGGCCATAATGACCATCGTTATGTTTGGAGGAAAAAGAGGGGTGGCTTGCAAGCCAAAGAACACCATCCCAACCGTGAAGCACGGGGGTGGCAGCATCATGCTGTGGGGATGCTTTGCTGCAGGAGGGACTGGTGCACTTCACAAAATAGATGGCATCACGAGAAAGGAAAATTAGGTGGATATATTGAAGTAACACCTCAAGACATCAGTCAGGAAGTTAAAGCTTGGTAGCAAATGGGTCTTCCAAATGGACAATGACCCCAAGCATACTTCCAAAGTTGTGGCAAAATGGCTTAAGGACAACAAAGTCAAGGTATTAGAGTGGCCATCACAAAGCGCTGACCTCAAGCCTATCGAACATTTGTGGGCAGAACTGAAAAAGCGTGTGCGAGCAAGGAGACCTACAAACCTGACTCAGTTACACCAGCTCTGTCAGGAGGAATGGGCCAAAATTCACCCAACTTATTGTGGGAAGCTTGTGGAAGGCTACCCAAAACGTTTGACCCAAGTTAAACAATTTAAAGGCAATGCTACCAAATACTAATTGAGTAATTGAGTGCCTTGCAAAAGTATTCATCCCCCTTGGCGTTTTTCCTATTTTGTTGCATTACAACCTGTAATTTAAATGGATTTTTATTTGGATTTCATGTAATGGCCATACACAAAATAGTAATAAAAAATTACTTGTTTCAAAAAATTCTAAAAAATAAATAAGGTAAAATTGGTGCGTGCATATGTATTAACCCCCTTTGCTCTGAAGCCCCTAAATAAGATCTGGTGCAACCAATTACCTTCAGAAGTCACATAATTAGTTAAATAAAGTCCACCTGTGTGCAATCTAAGTGTCACATGATCTGTCACATGATCTCAGTATATACACCTGTTCTGAAAGGCCCCAGAGTCTGCAACACCACTAAGCAAGGGGCACCACCAAGCAAGGGGCACCACCAAGCAAGCGGCACCATGAAGACCAAGGAGCTCTCCAAACAGGTCAGGGAGAAAGTTGTGGAGAAGTACAGATCAGGGTTGGGTTATAAAAAAATATCAGAAAAACTTTGAACATCCCACGGAGCACCATTAACTCCATTATAAAAAAATGGAAAGAATATGGCACCACAACAAACCTGCCAAGAGAGGGCCGCCCACTAAAACTCACGGACCAGGCAAGGAGGGCATTAATCAGAGGCAACAAAGAGACCAAAGATAACCTTGAAGGAGCTGCAAAGCTCCACAGTGGAGATTGGAGTATCTGTCCATAGGACCACTTTAAGCCGTACACTCCACAGAGCTGGGCTTTACGGAAGAGTGGCCAGAAAAAAAGCCATCGCTTAAAGAAAAAAATAAGCAAACACATTTAGTGTTCGCCAAAAGGCATGTGGGAGACTCCCCAAACATATGGAAGAAGGTAATCTGGTCAAATAAGTCTAAAATTGAGCTTTTTGGCTATCAAGGAAAACACTATGTCTGGCGCAAACCCAACACCTTTCATCACCTCGAGAACACCATCTCCACAGTGAAGCATGGTGGTGGCAGCATCATGCTGTGGGGATGTTTTTCAACGGCAGGGACTGGGAAACCTGTTAGAATTGAAGGAATGATGGATGGCGCTAAATACAGGGAAATTCTTGAGGGAAAGCTGTTTCAGTCTTCCAGAGATTTGAGACTGGGACGGAGGTTCACCTTCCAGCAGGACAATGACCCTAAGCATACTGCTAAAGCAACAATCGAGTGGTTTAAGGGGAAACATTTAAATGTCTTGGAATGGCCTAGTCAAAGCCCAGACCTCAATCCAATTGAGAATCTGTGGTATAATTTAAAGATTGCTGTACACCAGCGGAACCCATCCAACTTGAAGGAGCTGGAGCAGTTTTTTGCCTTCAAGAATGGGCAAAAATCCCAATGGCTAGATGTGCCAAGCTTATAGAGACATACCCCAAGAGAAATGCAGCTGTAATTGTTGCAAAAGGTCGCTCTACAAAGTATTCACTTTGGGGGGGGGGGGGGGGTGAATAGTTATGCACGCTCAAGTGTTATGTTTTTTTTGTCTTATTTCTTGTTTGTTTCACAAGAAAACATATTTTGCATCTTCAAAGTGGTAGGCATGTTGTGTAAATCAAATCATACAAAACCCCCAAAAATCAATTTTACTTCCAGGTTGTAAGGCAACAAAATAGGAAAACTGCCAAGGGGGGTGAATACTTTCGCATGTAAACTTCTGACCCACTGGGAATGTAATGAAATAAATAAAAGCTGAAATAAATCCTTCTCTCTACTATTATTCTGACATTTCACATTCTTAAAATAAAGTGGTGATCCTAACTGACCTAAAACAGGGAATTTCTACTAGGATTAAATGTCAGGAATTGTGAAAAACTGAGTTTAAATGTATTTGGCTAAGGTGTATGTAAACTTCCGACTTCAACTGTAGGTCCTGGATGGCAGGAAGGTTGGCCCCAGTGATGTACTGGGCCGTACACACTACCCTTTTTGGCGCCTTACGGTCGGATGCCGAGCAGTTGCCATACCAGGCGGTGATGCAACCTGTCAGGACGCTCTCGATGGTGCAGCTGTAGAACTTTTTGAGGATCTGGGGACCCATGCCAAATCTTTTCAGTCTCCTGAGGGGGAAAAGGCGTTGTCGTGCCCTGTTCACGACTGTCTTGGTGTGTATGGACCATGATAGTTTGTCGGTGATGTGGACACCAAGGAACTTGAAATTCTCGACGCGCTCCACTACAGCCCTGTCAATGTGAATGGGGGCGTGTTCGGCCCTCCTTTTTCTGTAGTCCACGATCAGCTCCTTTGTCTTGCTCACGTTGAGGGAGAGGTTGTTGTCCTGGCACAACTCTGACCTCCTCCCTATAGGCTGTCTCATCGTTGTCGGTGATCAGGCCTACCACTGTTGTTTCGTCAGCACACTTAATGATGGTGTTGGAGTCGTGCTTGAACATGGAGTACAGGAGGGTCTAAGCAGGCACCCTGAGGGGCCCCCGTGTTGAGGATCAGGCCTGAGGACACATCCACAGTAATTGAATTTGGCACCAGCGATTGCTAGCTTGTCAGATCACTGCTTGTGAACCTCAGGTTCTCATTGTATGAGATGTAGGCTACCTTTGAGAGGCATGTTAGGTATGCCGTTATGTTAGGCTTTGATAATACTCTGGTGTTTCTTTGGAATTGGAATTGGAAACAGGAATGAGACACATTTATTTTCATATCGCAGCTGTTGCCACTGATATTTGAGTATGTTTCTAGAAATTAATTAATCTTTATTCACCAGCATGTATTCTGTGCCTTTGTATTTCCCAATTTGTACCAAATCAGTAATGAGAATTTCTGCTATTTACCCGATTTCATCACCTACCCCCCTAATTTCACCTTCCTTGCCCCATCATATTTTCCTTGTCCTTCCCTCCATCACTAACACCTTCTAACCTCCGGCTTGGTCTCTTCCAGGCATCATGTCCACTATGTGATCCCGTACGATGGGGACCATTCTCTGGTGGACTCTTCGGAGAACTACTTTGTGAGTGACAGCGTGACCAAGCAGGAGATGGACCTGATGCTGGGGCTGCTGCTGGGCTTCTGTATCAGCTGGCTCCTGCTGTGGCTGGATGGAGTGCTGCACTGTGCTGTCAGGGCATGGAGGGCCAGCCGCTACTATGGTGAGTTAACCAGAGACTTGGTCCGTTTGACTGGGAAAAGTTTGACATGGCCTGACAAATGTGCAGCAGAATGAGCAGAAATGTTTTCAATAATCTGATGACAGAAGTATTTTGTTGATTCCCACCTCCGTGAAAAGAGAGATGGTGAGTGAAGTGGTGTTCCTGTTAATATTTTGACTGCTACATTACATGAGGTTGATCAGTGTTTCTCCTACATATTTTATTGGGGATGTGACATGGGTGTGCGAATGCCCAGAATTGACCACTGTACCATTCATTGAAACCAATTGAAACCAGGCATCCTTGGGTGGGTGGATAGCCCAACCCACCTGGCTATAAGTGATGGTTATGGGAAACTTTACAGAACTTGAGGACATAAGGGCTCAGTTGTTTTTTCAAATAAATAATTTAATAGGGGAAAAAGGAAAAGTGTGTTCCAGGCTAAATTAATTGTCACACAGGATATTTAATGTACAGTAGTGTATGCAGTGTGTTGTGGTCTGTCACGAACGTTGAGAGACGGGTCGGACCAAGGTGCAGCGTGAAAAGCGTACATGTTTATTCACCCAATAAACATACAAACCGAAACAACGTAACGTGAAGTCCAAAGGGTTACACACACACACACACACAAGATCCCACAATACACACACACAAGATCCCACAATATATACACCCACCCACCCGCACCCACACCCACACCCACACCCACACCCACACCCACACCCACACACACACACACACACACACACACACACACACACACACACACACACACACACACACACACACACACACACACACACACACACACACAAGATCCCACAATACACAGTAGGCAATGGGCTACCTAAGTATGATCCCCAATCAGAGACAATGAGCGACAGCTGCCTCTGATTGGGGAATCATACCTGGCCAGACATAGAAATATCTAACATAGATTTCCACACCCTGACTCAACAAACTAGAGTTCTATAGGTCAGGGCGTGACATGGTCATGGATTGGAATTAAGACATTATGCAGGTAATTAGTAGGAGAAGGAAATTGGAAAAAGCTTACTTTGTTTCCATTGGGGGGGGGGGTAGTTGTGTATAAAGTACAAGCATAGTGAAACTGTAATATGAATATTGCTGTGGAAATATTGCTGCCCTCAGATGTCATGTGTTTAGTACATACTGATTCACTGAGACAAAATTCCCTACCCGTAACACAGAGGGCACTTGTCTGCACACCACAAAGATATACAATGTCTCAAGTCATGCCAATGTTATATTAGCAAGCCAGACCTCACTGGGTGCGAGGCTATGCCAATGTAAACATATTAGAGGACTTGTCCATACTCTTTCTCCTGATTCAATCATTTGTCCAGTGTTCTTATATAAGTGTTGGAATATTCCAATTACGTCAGCTAAGCTTTATCTTGTGCAGCTCTCAATGTCAAAACAGGCCTATATTTTGTAGCTGGCCTGGATCATTTAGATATAAGACAATGTTAATGTAGGTGATGTGACCTGGATGACTGCTGTTATGGTCAGAAAATAGAGGGGCAAAATGTCTAGTGAGTGTAAATGAAAGAGATTGCCAATTAATTACCTTTGATTAATATGAAACCACTACACAAAGATGGGGTACTAAAAGTGAGTGGCGCAGTGGTCTAAGGCACTGCATCGCAGTGCTAACTGTGCCACTAGAGATCCTGGTTCGAATCCAGGCTCTGTCGCAGCCGGCCGCGACCGGGAGACTCATGGGCAGCGCACAATTGGCCCAGCGTCGTCCAGGGTAGGGGAGGGAATGGCCGGCAGGGATGTAGCTCAGTTGATAGAGCATGGCGTTTGCAACGCCAGGGTTGTGGGTTCGATTCCCACGGGGGGCCAGTATAAAAAAAAAAAGTATTCACTAACTGTAAGTCGCTCTGGATAAGAGTGTCTGCTAAATGACAAAAAAAAAAAAAAAAAAAAATGTCCTGAATATACTAAATTAAAAGTAGAGATGCCATATTATTTTGATGCATGTCGTATTTTTCTTGATGATAAGAGAATTTGGAAGTTTGAAGCATACAAATATTGCCAGTCTTAGATTGTGATTCTAGTAGTATTAGGCAAGAAACAACTGCTTTAGCTTTGCAGCAAGAATCAACCAATTTGATATTCTGTGCATAACATCAACATACAAAATATACCCAGATTTTACATTCAAATGATTCCCTCGAGGTATAGAGGGGTGGCTCTAGGCTTTACTTTGTGCTGGAATCCTTGTCCATGGAGGGAATGCCCCTTCACCAGTGTTTGGCTGTGACGTTGATGGCGGGTCAGACTCGTTTAGCCTCCCTGAGATGGGGAGTGAAGGTAAGGCTGACGGAGCGGGAAGGAAGGAGGTGGGGCAGATACTGTCACTTCCCCACCCCCACATACACACTCTCTCTCTCTAACACACACACACACACACTTGCTCTCTCTCTCTCTCCCCGGGAGCTATAAATAGAGTGAAAGAGAGCAGCTGGAATGGCGGGCGAGGGAGAAACACACACACCACACAAACACACACACCACAACACACACACCACAGACACACAAACACACACACCACAGAGGTGCACATTGATTCCGTTTGCTTTTTCTAATTCCATCTATATACCCTGCCTCTCCTGCTCTCCATTCAGTTATTGAATCCCCCATTTCTATCCATTTTCTTTATATAGCATCCTTTTGGAAAGTGATGATTCCTTTCTTATTGTCTATTTTCCATGAATAACTGATTCATATTCTTTGGCACCAGTGTCATCGGTGGAAAGACATTTGATTTAGCAAAATAGGGTAACAAAATATGATAACAAAAGGGGAAAATGATGACTTGGCAAAACCATCGACCCCCTCTCCTCCCTCCATAGAAAGACCTTTACATTTCTGCCCTCACCCCACTTTCCGCAATACATTACCATTTTAATTTTCTCCTGACTCCATCTCCATCCTTTTATTGAAATGAGAAGGACCTGTCTCATTCTCTCTTTTCCTTTGGATACCCTTCAGAACAGCCCTTGTGGATTGCATACCCATTCACATTTATAAATAACTGACTCCTCCCTCCCTTCTTCCAGCCACTCCCCTTCCCCCCAACCTTTTGCGTGGACATTTGCTAGTGCTGTCTGGGGCTCTCCCTCCTGTTTCTCTCCCATCTCAGAGGGCCTCACCATCTAAGTCTGACAGGGACAAATACCTGCACAAATTTTACCTCACACTCATATGCTTGGGGAAAGAAATCCTAAATAAATAAGTCGCTATTATTAATGTATAGCAGGATATAGAAACTGAAACGTACATACACTACATGAGAAAGAGTATGTGGACACCTGCTTGTCGAACATCTCATTCCAAAACCATGGCCATTAATATGGAGTTGGTCCCCCTTTGCTGCTATAACAGCCTCCACTCTTCTGGGAAGGCTTTCTACTAGATGTTGGAACATTGCTGCAGGGACTTGCTTCCATTCAGCCACAAGAGCATTAGTAAGGTCGGCCACCGATGTTGGGCGATTAGGCCTGGCTTGCAGTCTGCATTCCAATTCATCCTAAAGGTGTTCGATGGGGTTGAGGTGATCTTAGGCTTGTGTGCTGCTACTCGACCATGGAAACCAATTTCATGAAGCTCCTGACAAATAGTTATTTTGCGGATGTTGCTTCCAGAGGCAGTTTGGAACTCGGTAGTGAGTGTTGCAACCGAGGACAGACGATTTTTACGCACTACGCGCTTCAGCACTGGGCGGTCCAGTTCTGTGAGCTTGTGTTGCCTACCACTTCGCAGCTGAGCCGTTGTTGCTCCTAGATGTTTCCACTTCACAATAACAGCACTTACAGTTGACCGGGACAGCTCTAGCAGGGCAAACATTTGACAAACTGACTTGTTGGAAAGGTGGCATCCTACTGTATGATGGTGCCACGTTGAAAGTCACTGAACTCTTCAGTAAGGCCATTCTACTGCCAATGTTTGTCTATGGAGATTGCATGGCTGTGTGCTCGATTTTATACACCTGTCAGCAACGGGTGTGGCTGAAATAGCAGAATCCACTAATTTGAAGGGATGTCCACATACTTTTGTATATATAGTGCACCACATACAGTATGGGTAAGATTCTATGTTTGGCAGATGAATGTGTGGGCAACAAATGTGTTTCTAGGATTGGACTATTGTACGACCAAGCATTGGGTTGGTGGGAGCATCAATGACATTTGGGGCATCTTGGGCATCTAATAAACCTAACCAAATTCACTCCCGTCCTCTTATTAACCCCATTGAGATAAATGTTCTAATAGTTTCTTCACCCCTCTAACAACCTCCCTCTCTCCTCTTGTCCCCAAGACACCCCTTCCTGGTCATGGCTCCCCTCATTCTGCAACCTTCGAGACCTGCGTCGACGCTCCCAGCTCAGACAGCTGGAGGACTCCAGTGGCAACATGGTCCATATCAAGCAGAAGCTCTACCATAATGGCCACCCCAGCCCACGCCACCTCTGAAACAAGAATCCCCCCTCCAGCCCCTCAAACTGCCCCAAGGCCAACTGCTGCCTCAGAGACACTGGAATACTGCCCTCCGACTGTTCATAACACACCTGGCCTGAGACTTTCTTACGATGACCCTGACACAAGTCAGCACCAACCAATCCAAACTCAAGCAGAAGAAGAAGATAGTCGCCACTCAAATCTTGTCTATGTCCACCATTGCGGGAGGAAGGAAAAACAACCATTTTTAAGGGTGCTTTCTGTATAGAGACATTTTCTGTGTTCATTGTTGAAACTTGGCATGATCTTTTAGAACAGGGTACGATGCGAAGGGGGGGGGGGGGGGGGGGGTATTTTTGTGTTGTTGTTTTTTTCTCTCTATGGGGAGGGTATTTCTCTAAAGTGGGAGGGAGGTAAATGGAAAGGGGTGGGTTTCAAGATTTTATGATGGGAAGTTTAGATTGCTGCTTCTGTAAATACTTCTAAATATGGGGAAGTGGGAACACAGGGTGGGTTTGTTCGTGAGTGTGGTGAGTCAAGTGTTACGAGTAGAGCTGATGGACTGTATGGAAGGATAAACGGAGGGTAGGAAAGAGGAGGATGACAGCCGTCCAGAAGTAAACAGTGTGATTTCTGCTAAAAACACAGATTAATTAGTTTTGTTACTTAGTGAATTAAATGAATGTATTAATTTTACCTGTAAATACAAGAGGGGGAGGGGAGCATACGTTTGTGGTCAGGGTTCTCTGCACTGTGTTATTATTTATGAGAAGTTAGAAAATGAATTGATGCCAGCCCAGATAAGATGGAGACAGTTCAGTTCTTCCCTCGTCTTCCCAATATTGTGTCTAATAGCACTTCCCAATTTGCTATATCCAATTCCTTCATACTTATCAGAAGCAACCAGCCTAGAAGCAGCGGGAACCCTTATCCAGTCCCTCTCTCCCTCTCTGTCCAGACATTGCTGTTGTGAAGATAAAATGTCTGTTTTATTAAAAGTGCCATTGAAGCACAACAGTTACCCCTGATGTTTGAATGTGTCATTGCCTCAACATCAGTAGCCATACCATTGAACAGTGTATGTATGGAGAGAAAAAAACTGAATTCCTAGAGGTTGTATTTGTGAAGGGTTATTTTTTTAAACAGGAAATATGGAATGTAAATCAACTGTTCAGGGCAATTTAAGTTTTGAGTATATGCCATCCACATGCAGTAGTCCTAATTGTGGTTTAATTAATCTGTGCAAAATATGTCTCTGTGCAGTTTGAAGGAAGTTGAAGGTAGTTTCTGGAGCCATTGCTAACTAGTGTTAGCGCAATGACTGGACATCTACAGGAACAGCTAGCATGCTCCAGAAACTAGTTAGCATGCTCCAGAAACAGCTAGCAATTCATGGGTTAGTAAAAAAAGGTATTGATTGCCAAAATATCGCACTATCCCTTTATCCACAATCTAGGAATAATGACAATTTTGTCCATAATTTTACTAAAAGATCAGCCCCACTTTCCCATAAGCATCCATAATATCTAGGTATTTAAACGTTGTGGTTACATAGGCAGGTACAGTGTAATTACAGTGTAGTTACACATTGTTACATACTATTTAACTGTTACACATTGAAATGTGTATATGCATTAGATTTGTAATCAGTCGGTGGTCAATCCTCTCATCCTATCTTTATTTTATATGCAGGTATTAGGGACATCATGGTCTACCAAATTATCAGTTCGATGTTGATGAATGTAAATACTTTGCAAGTTGAGGTTCAATCTGTAGCTTTTATTTCCTCTGTGGTTCAACCTGGTCTAGGAGCATTTTGTATTATTCTGTATGTAAATCGGAGACACTTCATTTAGTATGATGTTATGTTTCATATGCTATGTATTAATTTGTGGATGTTCATCACTCATTTTGTATGATATGTTACGAATTACAATTCATATTATATGTCCGAATTTGCTAAATGTACAATGTGGTACCAATTTGCAAAACGTACAATATGTTACACATTTTCAAAACGTATGATATGTTAAGAATTCTGGCTAGGTGGCGAACGTTAGCTACGCGTTAAGTTTAGGAGTTAGGTTAAAGGGTTAAGGTTAGGGTTAGCTATGCTAAGCAGTTGCATCTGTCTTATGTAACCATACCAAATGTAACATATCATACTAATTTGAGTGTCCCAGATTGGCTTTTACTATGTTACGTCTAGTCAATGAGACTAGGCTGTGTGGTTTTATATTATTACCTTATAGGCACCTGTTCCTTTAATTTTTTCATTTTGCACTTGCAAAGACTAAAAGGCCTGGATGTTGCTTTGTGAGCCTTTGCGCCTCACCTGGAAAATAATTTAAGGGAAAGACTGGACTACTGTATCTTCCCCAATATTTCCTCAGACATGTTAAGAGGGATAGATGTAACATGGTGCTCAACCAACCTAGTTCATTTGCTATTGAGATATATACAGGCCTAAAGTCTTATCTGTTGCCATTTTCTTATTGTTTCCAATCTTCCGGACAATCGGTCACCCCTTTAACCTATTACATTTCTCATATACTTAAGCACTTGGAAATCCTACTTGAAAACTAAGTAATAATTGATTAAACTTTTATAGCGCTTTTCATTACAAACTCAAAGCGCTTTAATTGAAAAATAAAGACATGCAATTTTGAAAAACAAATAGTTCAATAGACAAGTGTAATAAGACACCATTGAGACAGAATAATCAATAGCCATTTAATCACATGACAAAACACCCATCATTCAGTACAGTACATATTTGTGCTTCAAAATATTTAACCTAATTGCTCCCTACCAAAGTGTTTCAGTAGCTTCACCATTTATTTTTATTTTTATGAGGGTCTTTTGGTTTGGTTGGGTCATCACCTTCCTGGTCCTTTGCTTGAGGTGTTTCAACTTTACTAGGATCTGACTCGGGAGTGACAGGGATTTCAGGGTCCACTGCTTTCTTGGCAGCTGCAGTTTCAGTCACCTCAGATTCCTTGGCCAAAACAGTTGCAGGGACCTCAGCTGCAGTTTCTGTGTCAACCTTTGCTGTAGTGGCCTCTGTGTTCTGGGCCACAGGGGTTACTGTGGCCTCTGTCTCCTTGGTTACATGGGTTGCTGCGGTCTCAGTCTCCGGGGCAACGAGAGTTGTTGCAGCCTCAGTTTCGGAATCAGAATCAGAGGTCTCTGTGGCAATCGGGGTTGCGGCGACCTCGGTCTTCATGACAATGGGGGTTGCTGCTGCCTCTGTTTCCACGACAACGGGTGCGGCATCGGTCTCCGTGACAACAAGGGTTGCTGCGGCTTCTGTCTCCGCGCCACCGGGGGTTGCTGCAGCATCGGTCTCCTGGGCAACGGGAACTGCTGTGGCCTCGGTCTCCTTGGCAACAGTGGCTGCTGTGGCCTCCGACTCTACTGCAATGGCTTCTGACTCTTTGACTGCTTCAGCGGCATCCAACTCTTGGTTGGTTTTAGTTTGAGTTGGTTCTTCTTTAATGATAGGGGCTGTGTCTACAAGTACCTCTGCTTCTGCCTCCTTGGGTGCAGACACCTCTGCTGTCACATAGACCTTTACCTTAGGCACTGCTACAGTCTCTGGAACAAGAGATGCTATAGCCTTTTCTGGCACATCCTTGATTATCTCTACCTCCTGCATCAATGGGATAGCAGTAGCAGTTTCCACAGGAGCCTCCACCACTTCTGCCTCCTTGAGTGCTGTAAATGCTGCAATAGTCTCAGTGACAATGGGGGTAGCAGCCTCTGCCTCCTTAACTAGAGTAACTGCCTCCTCAATAATGGCAGCTGCCTCTTCAACCTTCACTGGCTCAGCTTCCGCTGCGGCCTGAGCGCTGGAGATGATGGCCTCCATGACAGGGAGCACCGCTTGGATGGTGGGGACTGAATCCAGGAACTGTGGTACAGCCTCTTGCACCGCTGTGAATCCTATTACACTCGCTGCTGCCGCCTCCTTTGGCACCACCACCCCATGCTTACCTGCACTTTCCGCACCCCCTTCCATGTGGAGCCAGTCCATTTTTTGCGCGTGCTGACGGACAGCGTCGTCAACGCGCGCATCGATCATAGCTTCCGTCAAGACGCCGTCTTCTGAGGAGTATGCTGCAGCCTGACAGGAAAACAGGGATTGAACGTTATCCTGTGTCCCGTTTGCTGTACTGTCTAAAGAAAACTAAACCAACTAAATGGTTTGGAAGCTTAACTGGACAGGTCACATGTACTAACCTGCCAGGCCACACCCAGTTTAGAGATCTCACGGCCCGACATGCCCTCTGCACGAATAGCAATGTCCGAACACTTCTGGCCATAGTCAAACTGGGTCAACTTCATTCTCCTGCAGGGGGATATAGGTTAGTGAAATAAACAAACTCAACACACTGTATTGTTTCGTCAGAGCAATCCTTAGTCAAAAAATACATCTAGCTAATAAATATTACGTTGCACGTTTGTAGACATTACCCGAATCATTATGCCACTTGCATTGTAGTACAAGCGGAGAATGGTGTACTCACTGTCTCCCTAATGTGGCGGGCTCCAGTACAAATCTGTCAAAGTACAGGCGCACCAGTCTCTCCCTCTCCTCCAGACCAGGCAAGGCAAAGTTTACAATCTCATCAATACGGTCATTGATGGCCCAGTCAAACTGCTCAGGCTGGTTACTGGCCAACACTAGCATAAACCTGGGGAGAGAGATGGGATTATTCAAACACATGTCCATGATCTTTTTAGTTAAGTCAACCTTTTCATGCGCTTTCTCAAAACTCAAATAATATAAGCAGAGGTGAATTTAGGAAAAAATCACTATGGTAACTTGCCAGTGTATAATCACTTAAAATGAATATATTTTTTATTTAGGTTGCTACCAACTTGTTGCTCTGCTCTCCAGTGCGATAAAGGAATGCGTTAAGGGTGGATCTGAGGTCCTCACTGATTGTCTCCTGCAACACAAAGTCATTGACGTGATCAAAATAGCCGACATGTTGACTCTTGAAAACAGAACGTGCTCTTAGTTCTGTTACTGGACTCACTGTGGATCTCTTGCGTAGGAATGCATCTGCTTCATCTACAAAAAGCAGGAGGCTACAGAAGTTGAGGCAAATGAAGAGAAAGAGATTAGCAATTCTAATGGTTTTATTAGAAAACAGCTCCCAATGTTGTACTATTGACCCACAATCGTCATATGAATCTGACACACACGTAGAGATATAGATGGATCTTTATATATGGCTCTGATTTGACAAAACACCCATAAGATTTGTGCCAACGAGGATCTGTACATTTAACTTTGGACATTTAACACAACACAGTGAATGAATGTCCTACCCGCGCCGGCTTGTGCTGGCCCAGTCAAAGACCTTGTGCATGGCCGTCACGCCGTCACGGCCCATGGGGGCTACATCTCCACCTGTCATGATGGCGTAATCCATCCCAGAATGGAGGGCCAGTTTCTGCAGGGCAACGTAACAGACCATCATTCAGTAGAATAGTGGATGGAGCACCTATTGGCTAAGTGTGACCTTGTTGACAATGGACAGCTCTTGTGATGACTGGAATATACACGTTGGTGTAAAGTTAATAGTAAATAATTGTTTTCAGTTTCGTCATCCTGCACCTAACCAATACAATTAACAATTTTGAAATGCTTTCCTTATTCTAGTAAAGTACATGTTAAACTATACTAACAGGTATAGCGCATGCCATGTAATACCTTGGCAAAGAGGGTCTTGCCAGTACCAGGGGGTCCATACATAAGGATGTTTCTATAGAGCCCCTTATTCTGTCGAGTGTTACGAGTCGCGATGGCAATGTCCCTCACACGCTCCTCCAGGGATGGCTACACAACAGAGAGAGGGGAGGAAAGAGGGAGAGGGCAGGAGAAATGTCAACTTTGGAGGGATCAACTAACTTTAGCAGTGACATCAGTGTGTGTAGGGATATCTGCTTTTGTTGCATTGTAAAGAATCCTTACTGTTTGTACACTGTGTACTTACACTAAGAACTACTCCCTCCAGAGCATCCTGTGGTCTACTTCTCAGACGCTTCGTTGTCTGAAGGTAGAAAAGAGCTCAGAGTTCACATACATACAGTAAAACACTTCATACATGTGTTATAATACAGTCATTATGATTTTCGACCTACAATGCATCCGGAAAGTATTCAAACCCCTTGACTTTTTCCACATTTTGTTACCTTACAGCCTTATTCTAAAATTGATTAAATTGTTTTTACCCTCATCAATCTACACACAATACCCCATAATGAAAAAGCAAAAACAGGTTTTTAGAAATGTTTGCTAATTTATTAAAAATAAATAACTGAAATATTACATTTACATAACAATTCAGACCCTTTACTCAGTACTTTGTTGAAGCACCTTTGGCAGCAATTACAGCCTCGAGTCTTCTTGGGTATTACGCTACAAGCTTGGCACACCTGTATTTGGGGAGTTTCTCCCATTCTTCTTGGCAGATCCTCTCAAGCTCTGTCAGGTTGGATGGGGAGCGTCGCTGCACAGCTATTTTCAGGTCTCTACAGAGATGTTCGATCGGGTTTAAGTCCGGGCTCCGGCTGGGCCACTCAAGGACATTCAGAGACTTGTCCCGAAGCCACTCCTGCATTGTCTTGGCTGTGTGCTTAGGGTTGTTGTCCTGTTGGAAGGTGAACCTTCGCCCCAGTCTGAGGTCCTGAGCGCTCTGGAGCAGGTTTTCATCAAGGATCTCTCTGTACTATGCTTCGTTCATCTTTCCCTCAATCCTGAATAGTCTCACAGTCCCTGCTGCTGAAAAACATCCCCACAGCATGATGCTGCCTCCACCATGCTTCACCGTAGGGATGGTGCCAGATTTCCTCCAGACGTGACGCTTGGCATTCAGGCCAAAGAGTTCAATCTTGGTTTCATCAGACCAGAGAATCTTGTTTCTCATGGTCTGAGAGTCCTTTAGGTGCGTTTTGGCAAACTCCAAGCGGGCTGTCATGTGCCTTTTACTGAGGAGCGGCTTCCATCTGGCCACTCTACCATAAAGGCCTGATTGGTGGAGTGCTGCAGAGATGGTTGTCCTTCTGGAAGGTTCGCCCATCTCCACAGAGAACTCTGGAGCTCTGGCAGAGTGACCATCGGGTTCTTGGTCACCTCCCTGACCGAGGCCCTTCTCCCCCGATTGCTCAGTTTGGCCGGGCGGCCAGCTCTAGGAAGAGTCTTGGTGGTTCTAAACTTCTTCCATTTTAGAATAATGGAGGTAAAAGTGTTCTTGGAGACCTTCAATGCTGCAGAAATGTTTTGGTACCCTTCCCTAGATCTGTGCCTCGACACAATCCTGTCTCGGAGCTCTACGGACAATTCCTTCGACCTCATGGCTTGGTTTTTGCTCTGAAATGTACTGTCAATTGTGGGACCTTATATAGACAGGTGTGCCTTTCCAAATCATGTCCAATCAATTGAATTACCACAGGTGGACTCCAATCAAGTTGTAGAAACATCAAGGATTATCAATGGAAACAGGATGTACCTGAGCTTAATTTCGAGTCTCATAGCAAAGGATCTGAATACTTATGTAAATAAGGTATTTCTGTTCGCACTGAAACTCTAAAAACCTGTTTTTGCTTTGTCATTATGGGGTATCATGTGTAGATTGATGAGGAAAAAAAGTAATTTAATTAATTTTAGAATAAGGCTGTAACATAACAAAATGTGGAAAAAGTCAAGGGGTCTGAATACTTTCTGAATGCACTGTATAAATGGGCATAATTTTATACTACACTGAACAAAAATAGAAACGCAACATGTAAAGTGTTGGTCCCATGTTTCATGACTGAAATAAAGATCCCAGAAATGTTCCATACGCACAAAAGGTTATTTCTCTCAAATGTTGTGCACATTTGTTTACATCCCTGTTAAATCAAATCACATTTTATTTGCCACATGCGCCGAATACAACAGGTGTAGACATTACCGTGGAATGCTTACTTACAGCCCTTAACCAACAATGCATTTATTTCTTAATAAAAAAGTAAAATTAAATAACAACAACAAAAAAGTGTTGAGAATAAAAGAGCAGAAGTAAAATAAAATAACAGTAGGGAGGCTATATACAGGGGGGTTATATACAGGGGGGTTCGGGTGCAGAGTCAATGTGCGGGGGCACCGGCTAGTTGAGGTAATATGTACATGTGGGTAGAGTTAAAGTGACTATGCATAAATAATTAAGTACCAGCAGCGTAAAAAGATGGGGTGGGGGTGCAAATAGTCCGGGTAGCCATGATTAGCTGTTTAGGAGTCTTATGGCTTGGGGGTAGAAGCTGTTGAGAAGCCTTTTGGACCTAGATTTGGCGCTCCGGTACCGCTTGCCGTGTGGTAGCAGAGAGAACAGTCTATGACTAGGGTAGCTGGAGTCTTTGACAATTTTGAGGGCCTTCCTCTGACACCGCCTGGTATAGAGGTCCTGGATGGCTGGAAGCTTGGCCCCAGTGATGTACTGGGCCGTACACACTACCCTCTGTAGTGCCTTGCGGTCGGAGGCCGAGCAGTTGCCATACCAGACGGTGATTCAACCAGTCAGGATGCTCTCGATGGTGCAGCTGTAGAACTTTTTGAGGATCTGAGGACCCATGCCAAATCTTTTCAGTCTCTTGAGACTGAATTGATGCCCTTCCAGACTCCTTCTGCCTACCCAAGGACGTCAGAGGACAAAAATCAGTTAACCACTTAACTGAGGAACTCAATTTAACCTTGCGCAATACCCTAGATGCAGTTGCACCCCTAAAAACGAAAAACATTTGTCATAAGAAACTAGCTCCCTGGTATACAGAAAATACCCGAGCTTTGAAGCAAGCTTCCAGGAAATTGGAACGGAAATGGCGCCACACCAAACTGGAAGTCTTCCGACTAGCTTGGAAAGACAGTACCGTGCAGTACCGAAGAGCCCTCACTGCTGCTCGATCATCCTACTTTTCCAACTTAATCGAGGAAAATAAGAACAATCCAAAATTTCTTTTTGATACTGTTGCAAAGCTAACTAAAAAGCAGCATTCCCCAAGAGAGGATGGCTTTCACTTCAGCAGTGATAAATTCATGAACTTCTTTGAGGAAAAGATCATGACCATTAGAAAGCAAATTACGGACTCCTCTTTGAATCTGCGTATTCCTCCAGGGCTTAGCTGTCCTGGATCTGCACAGCTCTGCGAGGGCCTGGGATCGGGAGAGACACTTAAGTGTTTTAGTACTATATCTCTTGACACAATGATGAAAATAATCATGGCCTCTAAACCTTCAAGCTGCATACTGGATCCTATTCCTACTAAACTGCTGAAGGAGCTGCTTCCTGTGCTTGGCCCTCCTATGTTGAACATAATAAACAGCTCTCTATCCACCGGATGTGTACCAAACTCACTAAAAGTGGCGGTGATAAAGCCTCTCTTGAAAAAGCCAAACCTTGACCCGGAAAATATAAAAAACTATCGGCCTATATCGAATCTTCCATTCCTCTCAAAAATTTTAGAAAAAGCTGTTGCGCAGCAACTCACTGCCTTTCTGAAGACAAACAATGTATACGAAATGCTTCAGTCTGGTTTTAGACCCCATCATAGCACTGAGACTGCACTTGTGAAGGTGGTAAATGACCTTTTAATGGCGTCAGACCGAGGCTCTGCATCTGTCCTCGTGCTACTAGACCTTAGTGCTGCCTTTGACACCATCGATCACCACATTCTTTTGGAGAGACTGGAAACCCAAATTGGTCTACACGGACAAGTTCTGGCCTGGTTTAGATCCTACCTGTCGGAAAGATATCAGTTTGTCTCTGTGAATGGTCTGTCCTCCGACAAATCAACTGTACATTTCGGTGTTCCTCAAGGTTCCGTTTTAGGACCACTATTGTTTTCACTATATATTTTACCTCTTGGGGATGTTATTCGAAAACATAATGTTAACTTTCACTGCTATGCGGATGACACACAGCTGTACATTTCAATGAAACATGGTGAAGCCCCAAAATTGCCCTCGCTAGAAGCCTGTGTTTCAGACATAAGGAAGTGGATGGCTGAAAACTTTTTACTTTTAAACTCGGACAAAACAGAGATGCTTGTTCTAGGTCCCAAGAAACAAAGAGATCTTCTGTTAAATCTGACAATTCATCTTGATGGTTGTAAAGTCATCTCAAATAAAACTGTGAAGGACCTCGGCGTTACTCTTGACCCTGATCTCTCTTTTGACGAACATATCAAGACTGTTTCAAGGACAGCTTTTTTCCATCTACGTAACATTGCAAAAATCAGAAATTTTCTGTCCAAAAATGATGCAGAAAAATTAATCCATGCATTTGTTACTTCTAGGTTAGACTACTGCAATGCTCTATTTTCCGGCTACCCGGATAAAGCACTAAATAAACTTCAGTTAGTGCTAAATACGGCTGCTAGAATCCTGACTAGAACCAAGAAATTTGATCATATTACTCCAGTGCTAGCTTCCCTACACTGGCTTCCTGTTAAGGCAAGGGCTGATTTCAAGGTTTTACTGTTAACCTATAAAGCGTTACATGGGCTTGCTCCTACCTATCTTTCCGAGTTGGTCCTGCCGTACATACCAATACGTACGCTACGGTCACAAGACGCAGGCCTCCTAATTGTCCCTAGAATTTCTAAGCAAACAGCGGGAGGCAGGGCTTTCTCCTATAGATCTCCATTTTTATGGAACAGTCTGCCTACCCATGTGAGAGACGCAGACTCGGTCTCACCTTTAAGTCTTTACTGAAGACTTATCTCTTCAGTAGGTCATATGATTGAGTGTAGTCTGGCCCAGGAGTGTGAAGGTGAACGGAAAGGCTGGAGCAACGAACAGCCCTTGCTGTCTCTGCCAGGCCGGTTCCCCTCTCCACTGGGGTTCTCTGCCTCTAACCCTGTTGCAGGGGCTGAGTCACTGGCTTGCTGGTGCTCTTTCATGCCGTCCCTGGGAGGGGTGCGTCACTTGAGTGGGTTGAGTTACTGACGTGATCTTCCTGTCTGGGTTGGCGCCCCCCCCTTTTGTGCTGTGGTGGAGACCTCTGTGGGCTATACTCGGCCTTGTCTCAGGATTGTAAGTTGGTGGTTGGGGATATCCCTCTAGTGGTGCGGGGGCTGTGCTTTGGCGGAGTGGGTGGGGTTATATCCTTCCTGTTTGGTCCTGTCCGGGGGTTTCTTCGGATGGGGCCACAGTGTCTCCGGACCGCTCCTGTCTCAGCCTCCAGTATTTATGCTGCAGTAGTTTATGTGTCGGGGGCTGGGGTTAGTTGGTTTATACCTGGAGTACTTCTCCTGTCTTATCCAGTGTCCTGTGTGAATTTAAGTATGGTCGGTAACCAGTACTCGGTTTTCTTTACCTCTCCTTTTTAGGCATTGACCAACAGTTAATCTGTGATACCTGCTGTCAATCCCAGGGCCTTGCTCTTTATTCCAGTTGAATGTTCTCCTTAGCTACGAAACTCCTACAGTCCTAACTTGCTGTTTTCAGCTTTAATGTTGGTTTAGTCCATGAGAGACATGAGCAGGACATACGTCGGATAACTTCCGTGGTGTCTAGGCCATTTCTTCTTTTACCTTAATAGGGTTTTTGGGGCCCGCTAAGATTCCTGGAGGTCTCATCGGACCAGCGAAGTTTCCCAGACGAGGCCTCGAGTAGACCAATCACCGGTGGCAGCTTCCGTCTGAAAAACCCCACCGCCAGCTGTGAACCACCACCTGCGGGCATCACCAAACAGTGTGTGTCCAATTACTGATATGGAAGGAACCACCATGGAAATTGCTTAGGAGTTTCTGCAGTGTTGAAAGGTGATAGCAGATTGGTAGTAAGGGGAGACTTTTTACCGTGGCAGTGAGTTTATCCAATCGGACACAAGGCATGGAACCTTCCACGAAACACTGCTCTGCAGTCGACGAACAAAAACATCATTATTACCTGACTGAACTCCCTTGTGACCACAAATTCACGCATTCTTGGGTCTTAAAACATAGCAAATACTGGCTGATCAAATTAAATGCATTGCATAATGGGGTGAGACTGTGATAAAACTGAATGTAAAGCTCTTCATTGTTGGTCCTTCCACAGCCCAGTCTCAACTGTGACCCAAAAGTCCTGATCCCCGTTTTGGGGGCTTTGGAACCGAAGCTCCCTGACAGGTCCTGGTTTAGGCTCTCTAATTCCCGGCCTTTTTCTCTGAACGAGTACCATAGTCAGCTCGCCTGATACCCCTTCCCCATTGCATTGCTGACATTCCAAGTCCAACATTTCTGCATGCGGATACAAACCCTCAAGGTAGTCCTGCTGTTTGAGGCATAATGGTCGGCTATAAGCCAACTGAGAGACCTGAGCCCTAGGACCATACGTCGGGACTACCGGCCGTGGTGACTCCTGCTGTCCCCAGTCCGCCTGGCCTTGCTGCTATTCCAGTTTCAACTGTTCTGCCTGCGGTTATGGAACCCCTACCTGTCCCAGACCTGCTGTTTTAAACTCTTAATGATCGGCTATGAAAAGCCAACAGATTTATTCCTGATTATTATTTGACCATGCTTGTCACTTATGAACATTTTTGAACATCTTGGCATGGTTCTGTTATAATCTCCACCCGGCACAGCCAGAAGAGGACTGGCCACCCCTCATAGCCTGGTTCCTCTCTAGGTTTCTTCCTAGGTTTTCGCCTTTCTAGGGAGTTTTTCCTAGCCACCGTGCTTCTACACCTGCATTACTAGCTGTTTGGGGTTTTAGGCTGGGTTTCTGTACAGCACTTCGAGATATTAGCTGATGTAAGAAGGGCTATATAAAATAAAATTGATTGATTGATTGATTGAGGGGGAATAGGCTTTGTCGTGCCCTCTTCACAACTGTCTTGGTGTGTTTGGACCATGATAGTTCGTTGGTGATGTGGACACCAAGGAACTTGAAGCTCTCAACCTGTTCCACTACAGCCCTGTCGATGAGAATGGGGGCGTGCTCAGTCCTCTTTTTTTTCTTCCTGTAGTCCACAATCATCTCCTTTGTCTTGGTCACGTTGAGGGAGAGGTTGTTATCCTGGCACCACACGGCCAGGTCTCTGACCTCCTCCCTATAGGCTGTCTCATCGTTGTCGGTGATCAGGCCTACCACTGTTGTGTCGTCGGCAAACTTAATGATGGTGTTGGAGTCGTGCCTGGCCATGCAGTCATGGGTGAACAGGGAGTACAGGAGGGGACTGAGCACGCACCCCTGAGGGGCCCCCGTGCTGAGGATCAGCATGGCAGATGTGTTGTTACCTACCCTTACCACCTGGGGGCGGCCCGTCAGGAAGTCCAGGATCCAGTTGCAGAAGGAGGTGTTTAGTCCCAGGATCCTTAGTTTAGTGATGAGCTTTGAGGGCACTATGGTGTTGAACGCTGAGCTGTAGTCAATGAATAGCATTCTCACGTAGGTGTTCCTCTTGTCCAGGTGGGAAAGGGCAGTGCGGTATGCAAATTGGAGTGGGTCTAGGGTTTCTGGGATAATGGTGTTGATGTGAGCCTTGACCAGCCTTTCAAAGCACTTCATGGCTACAGACGTCAGTGCTATGGGTCGGTAGTCATTTAGACAGGTTATCTTATTGTCCTTGGGCACGGGGACTATGGTGATCTGCTTGAAACATGTTGGTATTACAGACTCAGTCAGGGGCATGTTGAAAATGTTGGTGAAGACACTTGCCAGTTGGTCAGCATATGCTCGGAGTACACGTCCTGGTAATCCGTCTGGCCCTGCGACCTTGTGAATGTTGACCTGCTTAAAAGTCTTACATCGGCTACGGAGAGCGTGATCACATAGTCATCCAGAACAGCTTGTGCTCTCATGCATGCTTCAGTGTTGCTTGCCTCGAAGCGAGCATAGAAGTGGTTTAGCTCGTCTGGTAGGCTCGTGTCACTGGGCAGCTCGCGGCTGTGCTTCCCTTTGTAGTCTGTAATAGTTTTCAAGCCCTGCCACATCCGACGAGCGTCAGAGCCGGTGTAGTACGATTCAATCCTAGTCCTGTATTAACTCTTTGATGGTTCGTCGGAGGGCATAGCGGGATTTCTTATAAGCGTCCGGGTTAGAGTCCCACTCCTTGAAAGCGGCAGCTCTACCCTTTAGCTCAGTGCGGATGTTGCCTGTAATCAATGGCTTCTGGTTGGGGTATGTTAGTGAGCATTTCTCCTTTGCCAAGATAATCCATCCACCTGACAGGTGTGGCATATCAAGAAGCGGATTAAACAGCATGATCATTACACAGGTGCATCTTGTGCTGGGGACAATAAAAAGCCACTCTAAAATGTGCAGTTTTGTCACACAACACAATGCCACAGATGTCTCAAGTTTTGAGGGAGAGTGCAATTCGCATGCTGACTGCAGGAATGTCCACCAGAGCTGTTGCCAGATCATTTTATGTTAATTTATCTACCATAAGCCACCTCCAACATCATTTTAGAGAATTTGGCAGTATGTCCAACCGGCCTCACAACCGCAGACCACGTGTAACCACGCCAGCCAATGACCTCCACATCCGGCTTCTTCACCTGCGGGATCGTCTGAGACCAGCCACCCGGACAGCTGATAAACCTGTGGGTTTGCACAATTGAATAATTTCTGCACAAACTGTCAGAAACCGTCTCAGGGAAACTCATCTGTGTCCCCATTGTCCTCACCAGGGTCTTGATCAGACTGCAGTTTGGCGTCGTAACCGACTTCAGTGGGAAAATGCTCACCTTCGATGGCCACTGGCACGCTGGAGAAGTGTGCTCTTTACGGATGAATCCCGGTTTCAAATGTACCGGGCAGATGGCAGTTGTGTGGGCGAGCGGTTTGCTGATGTCAACGTTGTGAACAGAGTGCCCCATGGTGGCAGTGGGGTTATGGTATGGGCAGGCATAAGCTACAGACAACAAACACAATTACATTTTATCGATAGCAATTTCAATGCACAGAGATACCGTGACGAGATCCTGAAGCCCATTGTCGTGCCATTCATTCGCCGCCATCACCTCATGTTTCAGCATGATAATGCACGGCCCCATGTCGCAAGAATCTGTACACAATTCCTGGAAGCTGAAAACGTCCCAGTTCTTCCATGGCCTGCATACTCACGAGACATGTCACCCATTGAGCATGTTTGGGATGCTCTGGATCAACGTGTACGACAGCGTTTTCCAGTTCCCGCCAATATCCCACAACTTCGCACAGCCATTGAAGAGTGGGACAACATTCCACAGGCCACAATCAACAGCCTGATCAACTCTCTGCAAAAGAGATGTGTTGCAGTACATGAGGCAAATGGTGGTCACACCAGATACTAACTGGTTTTCTGATCCACGCCCCTACCTTTTTTTTAAAGGTATCTGTGACCAACAGTTGCATATCTGTATTCCCAGTCATGTGAAATCCATAGGGCCTAATTCATTTATTTCAATTGAATGATTTCCTTATATGAACTGTAACTCCGTAAAATCTTTAAAATTGTTGCATGTTGCGTTTATATTTTTGTTCAGTGTACTTCAAAGAGCAGGGACAACGAATATCTCATATCAATTTGTTATGTCCTTAAAGGGAACTATTTTATCTCTTCTTTAGTTACCTTAATAGGGTGTTTGATGGCCTCGCTAACAGTGATTCTGGAGGTCTCTCGGACCAGCGAAGGCTTTCCCAGACGAGCCTCGATGTAGCGCCCAATCACCCCGGTGGCGTTCCGTGCTGAATACACCCCCACCGCCAGCAGTGTGAACCCAGCCACCTGCAGGGCATTCACCAAACAGTGTGTGTCAATTACTCAGATATGGTAAGCAACCACAATGTGAAATTCAAGCTATATCGCAGGTTGTAGGGTGAAAGTGTGATAGCAGATTGGTAGTAAGGGGGATACTTTTTACCGTGGCAGTGAGTTTATCCCAATCGGACACAAAGGCATGGAACCCTTCCCCGAACACTGCTCCTGCAGTCCTGACAGAAACAAAAACATCATTATTACAGTGACTGCTCCCATTATGACCACCAAACATTCACAGCATTCTTGGGTTCTTATCCAAACATAGCAGAATACTGGCTGATCAAATTAAATGCATTGCATAATATGAGATGAGAGATGTGATAAGAACTGGAATGTATAAAGCTCTTTACAATTGATTGTCTTCCACAGCCCAGTCTCAAGCTGTGACCCTCTAAAAAGTAACTGCAAGTGCAACCCGCCAGTGGGTCCCGACCCAATAATGGTACGCACTGCTGTAGAGTTTAGAACCCTTTTGACCCTTCCCATCTTACCTGATGGACTCCAAGACCGTCTGCCTGTGTTCGGCTGCTTTAAGGCGGATCTGTTCACGGATGAGGTCCGCATTCTCCCGCTCTACCTTGGCACGAGCTGCAGACTCCGCCTCCACACGAAGCAATTCGTTCTTGTGCCGCAAAGCCATTTCATGTTCAATAGTGGCTAGGTAGGAGAGAGTGGAACTAAAGTAAGTTCAAAATATGTTTTTGACTGAGTCTGCTATTAGTAAACATACTGTGGGACTGATTTACAAAGCATTTGCACCAGTTTCTGTCAGAAGAGAACTACAGATATACTGTAAACCAGGAGTAGGCAACCACAGGCACTTCATGTTTTTGATTTACTGACCCGGAAGGCCAGGTGTGTTGAACTGATCAATTAGCTCAGTTGGTCAGGTGTGATGCCTAGTTGGAACAAAATCCGGAAGTACCTGCGGCACTTCAGGAACAGGGTTGCCTAACGCTGCTGTAAACAATGACAAAAACATGAAACGGTCTCAGTTTACTATTCTTCATGTTTCATTTTCCTTTATGAAGAACAGGTGCAAATGCTTAGTAAACCTTCTCCTGTGTGTCACAATCACATGGGGAATTTTCCTGCACCTTTTCGCATAGCCTCCTGCTTTGTTACTGATTCCTCTTGCTTGCGCAAGTTCTCCTCGTTGAGGGCTTGCTGCAAATACAAAACACATGCGGAACATACACTTAGCCATATTTCTCATTCTTGTCCTTTTTCTATCAGCATGGGTCCCACTCCGGTTTCTTTTTGTGTTCTCCATAGCTATGGCTGATATTCCACAGAAATCAGAACAAAGTGCTTACCTGTTGCCTGAGTTGATCGTCATATCTCTGTCTGGCAAGTTTGTCTTGATACTGTGCCCTCTAGAGGAAATAAAGACAGAAAACACCTTAGCACAATTTGAAGCATGATCCAACATTAAGGATGCAATACAATAAAGACAAATAATGTACATTATCCCCATAACAACATACTTAGCGTAACACTAGATTGATTCACACTTGACTGGTAAATAACATCACTCCCATACCGCTTGATTTTGCTTGGTCTCCTCTGTAAGTGTTTTCCGCCTTTCCTCTGCCTGGAGACGGATCTGTTCCCCCTTCAGCTGCTCCAAGGCTGCTTCATATTCCTGTTGGTGAATGGGATTAAAGCATGTTTTCAGAGAGGAATAGGTAGTAGGTTTGTAGGACAGACAACCGTTATACTTAAACCCTAATCTCATTATTCGGAGCATCATAGATGCCAAGTTTATGGACCTCAAGTTAAAAGTCAAGGGAGAATTGAGAGACAGAGTGGATGAATATATCGAAATGAGAAACCATGTGTTCCCGTTTTGAAAAGCAGGTGACAGTACTGGAATGTCTAGGACAGGGAAGATCATAAGGCAATAGTGGATAACACCTGTTTTTTTCTATTGCACAAAATGCTGCAGCTAGGTAGAAGGCAGAGCATGGCGCTTGTAACGCCAGGGTTGTGGGTTCGATTCCCACGGGGGGCCAGTATGAAAAATGTATGCACTCACTAACTGTAAGTCGCTCTGGATAAGAGCGTCTGCTAAATGACTAAAATGTAAATGTAAATGTAAAAAGCATGAGCTAATGCACACCCACAAATGTTTGTAGCAGTAGAGGTAAATAAAATCACACTTTTTATGCTCCCAACATTTTAATGGGTAAACCTAATAACCAGACATTTGAAAGTGACTCACCTTCACTTTACTCTGATGCTCCAGCTGTACCGACTGCTCCTGCATGCGAGCCAGATCAAGTGCCTCTTTCGCATGGCCTATAGAGTTGGGGTGGAAACACAATTAAGACACTTCGATGTCAATTGGTCACTTGATACTATGAGTGTAGTTGTTCATTTGGGGAACAGGAATAATTATTTAACATTACTTGCCATTAACTCACAAACGATACCACTTTCACTGTCATGAGGCTCGCGCTTTGGACCTCTGTTCCTCAAAAGTACACTAGTGTCGCCAGCGGGTGGGGGGGGGGGGGTTAATGTATACAGGAGGACAGTATGGTGCCATACAGGCGCATGCGCCAAACTGACGTTCATGGCTAAATATATAACTCCATATATGCAACAGCAGGCCATTAGTCTATGCAGGTCACATGCTCTCTTGCAAGCAAACATCGAACGGGAATGTGATCTTGAACAAGTGGCAGGACAGAAAACATCCCCATGAAGAACACTTTGTTCTTTCAATCACTGACACGCCCACCAAAGCCTGTTGCAGACAGTCTTTGTTGATACAGTCGAGTCCAGTTCATTACATACTTTCTACAGTTGATTCATGTTCAATTGATATTTTGTTGCAGTTGTCAGAAAGTTTAATTGCTCATAATCTGCAACGACATCGTACTGTTGAACTCACACAATACAATCTGCACACAAAACAACTAGGTAACTTTAGACAAGAACAATAAGGTTTAAGAAATGACATGACAATGTGATAACTATTGTACGAACGTGATCTGTCAAGTTCCCTCGCAGATTTTGCCGCTCGTTCAAGCCCAGTCGGGTCGAAGTTACTCCATTTGTCCTTGGGCTTCTCTCCGAACGATTTATCCGAAGATCCCCCTTTTCCTCCAGGCGTCTCTGCTTCATCTGTCGGTGGTTTGCTGGACCCCCTTCCCCAGCCGAAGAGCCACGACATGGTAACTCAAATGAAGTCGTATTCTTGCTCCTCGTGCTGCACCGGCCTGAAGGGTCCAGTTTCTTCTATCGCCACTTTTCTACACGGGACCATATACACACCTCCCTCGCCACCACTATTGCTCCATGTGTGTCGGGTAGACTCTACCACGCAAGCGCGACGTGTGGTGGGCAGGACTATATATCAAATACTCCATCCTTATTGGTTACTACAACGACGAGGTTCTCTCCTGTTCGAGAGCATCGAATGCTGCGGATCCCTTTCCAAATTACCTGGACTGCCTGTTGTAGACAAGAGTTACCATTGCGCATATCACTTTTTGAATAGATTAGGGAAAACGCGCAACTTAAAAAGGATGCCGGTAAAAAGCAGTAAGCATAATAGAACATACCTATGTTCTATATCGTGGAGCTCCGCCCCATAGGGGAGCTCTGCTCCTAGTGGTTTACCCTCTGCCCTAAGGCAGAACAGCCTGAAGCAAATTTATGCACACACCTGCAGCCAATGGGAGCACAGGTGCCCCTATAAAAGGGGACACATCCCCTCACTCAGCCTCCCTTTATCTTCAGCGACTGGACGACTAGACTGAAGAAGCCAAGAAGAGAAGAAGACTCAGGAAGAAATCGCCGTCGATGATCCAGCCATCGACGTCTTCTAAATGAGCACACCAGGAGATTTTCCACCCCCAAAAGCCCTTTTCAGGGCTCAGTGCCGATGCACCGCCATGACATCTGCGGACCCCCACGACCTTTGTTTCGTGTGCTTGGGGCCACAGCATGCCAAGGAAGGAGCCGGCAATCCCCCTAGTTGCGCCTCCTGCGCCCTCCTTCCTATGAAGGAGAGGAAGCAGCGTTGGGCGTTTTTTAGGGAGGATATCCCCCTAGAGGATGTATTGTCTCTTCTCGCCTCTGCTTTAGAGGCGTCGTCGGACAGTGCTGGCTCAGGGGATGATAAGGAGGGAGACGCAGAGATGGATGTTCCAATGGAACAATCCGACCCTCTAGCGCCAACCTTCAAGACCCCCTTCCCTATGGGGAGTACGAGGTCTGAAGGCTCCTTATGCGATGACGACACAGGCTCTGTTACGTCAGCAGCCCTGTCCTTCGCAGCGGCCTCTCTGCGTTCGGACTTTCCCGAACTCATTGAGAGAGCCGCCAATCGACTCGAGATAGCGCTGCCCCCTGCTCCCCCCCTTGTGGAGGTTGACTTGATGGAGGGCGGCCCCTACTCTAAACCAAGGAAGGCAGCTGAGCCGATGGCTCCGGCTATGCCTTCCCTTGGGAAATATGTCGAGGGCTCGTGGGACACACCCCTGGCGGCGCGTTCGCCGGCCAAGGTGTACATCCCATTCACGAGAGTGGCTGGACGTGAGTGGGCGGCTAAGGGAATCCCTAAGCTCGAGAGCGCCATGGCGGCGTATCTAGTGCCGGGTTCGAGTCCCTGGGTGGCCTCCAAGAAAGCCATCTTACCAGCACAAAAAGACAGACTCACAGCACAGCTGGCTGAGAAGTCTTTCACGCTGGGAGCCCAGACTGTGTCAGCGGCTAACAACATCGCCCTCCTCGCGGCCTCCCTATCCCGTCTAACAACGGGTAGGTCAGAGTTGACCAGCGATGAGATTGAAGAGGCGTCCAGGATTTCTGGCGCTATTCTTCACTTGACACAGGCGTCAGCGATATGCGCAGGCCGGTCCATGGCCACCTCGGTGGTCATGGAACGTCACCTCTGGCTGTCAATGACAGCCATGAAGGAGACGGACAGGGCCTCGCTACTAAACGCTCCCGTCTCTAGCGAGGGCCTCTTTGGGGTCGCCGTTAAAGAGGCGACGGAACGCTTTGGTAAGCTGGACGAGGAGAAGAAGCACCTGGCTAAACACCTGCCATTGGCAGGCAAGTTTAGCAGGGCCTCAACCAAACCGTCAACCTCCAATGCCCCCAGTAGAACTACAGGGAGGCGACGGGCCAGGCGACAGGCGCCTACCACCGACAGCAGGCGAGCGGGCTCGGCCCCTCCAGCGACGACGGTGGTGGCAACGATCCCGCCGGCGAGAGAGGTCGTCACGAAACCGTCCTGGCAACACCAGAAGGTCAGCCAGAAAAGACGGCGTCAATGACGGGAAGAGGGGGAGAGGACGGATGACGGCTCGGCGCAAGACGCGACAGAGCCCACTGTTCCCCCCCACCCTACTGTTCAGGGCATGGAGGGAAATGTTTATTGTTGTTGTGTGAATAAAGAGCTGGCTCTCACTGACATTGTCACAAATGGGCCTGTCTTCCATGACACATTGCAGAGTACTTCACGTCCTATGAATTTCTCTCACCATCCTGAGTGTAGCTCAACCCACCAAGGGTGCGTAGTTGAACACACTCAGGAGAGGAAAGAGAAAAAGGTAGCAAGGCGTAGCCTTAGCTCACCTAATAAAGATATTTTACTACAGACTCCTAGGAGCTCTGTAGTAAAGGTCTCACATAGCAGGCAGCCGTCTCAGTCTAAATATGACATGAAGACGCAGCCGCTAGCTGGGAATGACGCCTTGTTTCAGGCTAACGCCTCAGCCAGCGCAGTTCAGACCCGTGCGACGTTCATGGAGGGCGGGAATACTAGAGTTACAGGTGTAACCAATGTATGGGCGCCCCCGGCTAATTCAGAACGTGTGGCGCAGTGGTCTAAGGCACTGCATCGCAGTGCTAACTGTGCCACTAGAGATCCTGGTTCGAATCCAGGCTCTGTCGCAACCGGCCGCGACCGGGAGACTCATGGGCGGCGCACAATTGGCCCAGCGTCGTCCAGGGTAGGGGAGGGAATGGCCGGCAGGGATGTAGCTCAGTTGATAGAGCATGGCGTTTGCAACGGCAGGGTTGTGGGTTCGATTCCCACGGGGGGCCAGTATAAAAAAAAAAATGTATTCACTAACTGTAAGTCGCTCTGGATAAGAGCGTCTGCTAAATGACTAAAATGTAAATGTAAATGTAAATGTAAGAACGTAACAATGCCCATTACTCTGAGTGCAGCTCACCACACCCAGAGTGTGCTGTTGAGCAGCTTCATGAGACCAGTGAAAAAGAGGTATTGTGGCGCCACCTTGTGGTACCAGTTAGAGACCACACTTTCCAGACTCTGTTGAGTACTGCAGTGGACGGATCTCATGACAAGCAGCAGTCTCAGTCAGACAATGACATGATGACGCAATTGCTATCCGGGGAGGGCGCTCTGCCTCAGGTTAACACCTCAGTCAGGGCAGCTCAAAACCGTGCTGCGTTCACGGAGGGCCGGAATACTAGAGTTACGGATGTAACTGACGTATCAAGGCCTCCGATTCCCTCAGAACGAGCTGATGTTTCCTCTCCCTTTCGAGGGGGGCCCGCCTTGGGCTATTCCACCAACCCAGTGCTGAGGAATAGCGGCGGCGAGGGCCATAGAGGAATACAGGTCCTTCCTACTGGACGCACCACAGCTTCGTGCGCGCCCGCTTTCTCTGCATTGCTGGCAGTGGCAACGAAGCTGTACCCTCTCACGCTGGCTAGAACAGACGTTGCAGAAGGGTTATGCCCTCCAATTCCATCGAACCCCACCCCCGTTCAGGGGAGTGGTGGAGACGGTGATGAAAACGCCGGACAAAGTAGCCGCTCTGATGTCAGAGATTACGGAACTTTTGGCGAAGGAGGCGGTCACAGTAGTTCCCCGGGAGCAAAGGAACAAAGGGCTGTATTCGCCTTATTTCCTAGTGCCCAAAAAGACGGGGGGAGTGAGGCCGATTTTGGATTTACGCACTCTCAACGAGAGCATAACCAAACGACCCTTCCGAATGCTGACGACAAAACGTCTACTGGAATGTGTCCAGAAAGGAGACTTTTGTACAAGCATAGACCTAAAGGACGCGTACTTCCATGTGCCGATACAATCGCGTCACAGGAAGTTTCTGCGGTTCGCCTTTCAAGGGCTGGCGTACGAGTTCACGAGGATGCCATTCGGGTACGCCCTGGCACCTCGAAACGTTTTCCAAATGTGTAGAGGCGGCATTGGAGCCGCTACGTCGTCAAGGGATAAGGCTATTAGCCTACCTAGACGACCTGCTGGTTCTCGCCCCGTCAGCAGAGCTGGCGCTCACTCACACAACACAGACAGTGATTCACCTCACGCGTCTGGGGTTCGCTGTGAATTGGAAAAAGAGCGCACCCTGGCCCAGTCATCAGATTGTCTACCTGGGGATACAGCTAGACACTGTAATGATGAGGGCTCGAATCTCGGACCCTCGAAGGGTAGCATTGTTGCTAGCCCTGAGGAAGTGCCGTCCGAATCACACAGTGAACACGCTATCGATCATGTCACTTTTGGGTCTCATGTCGTCAGCCCACTCTGTGGTCCCGCTGGGACTTCTGCACATGCGCAGAATACAGCGATGGTTCGCCCAACTAAGACTAGACCCAGTGCGTCAACGTCATCGGTTGGTGGTGGTTCCTCTCTCGCTAAGAGCAGACCTGGACTATTGGAGGAACCCGAGCGTTCTCACGCACGGAGTCCCGATGGGCAAGGTGTCATCCTACATTCCAGTATTTACAGATGCCTCTCTGACTGGATGGGGAGGGACATGTCAGACTCAAGCGATAAGAGGTGTATGGCCTCAATCAGGTCGTCACATAAACCTCTTGGAGTTGGAAACGGTTAGACTGGTTTTGACCCACTTCGCGCCTACCCTTCGGGATCGCGATGTGCTGGTCTGGTCAGACAACCGAACCACAGTGGCCCACATAAATCGCCAGGGAGGGGTCAGGTCACCTGCCCTCCACCGGGCGGCAGAGGAATTGTGGCTGTGGGCTCACAAGCACCTTCGCTCGTTGAGAGCAGCACACATTCCGGGCTACTTGAACGTAGGAGCAGACCTCATGTCAAGAGGGGGTCCTCGAGACGACGAGTGGTGTCTGCATCCAGACATTGTTCTCCGAATTTGGGAAAAGTTCGGGAGAGCCGAGGTGGATCTGTTCGCGTCACGCGTGAACGCGCAATGTCCCCTATGGTTCTCTCTGAGGGAACAGGACGAGCCACCACTGGGAAGAGACGCATTCGCGGACTACCCGTGGCCGAAAGTTCTCCTGTATGCATTCCCTCCGCTGTCTTGCATTCTCCCACTGCTAGCCAGGGTGA